TGCTTACCTCACTTGTACTTAAATTTGATCCCATTGCAGCCCCAGTTGCATATAAATCCAGTGTTAAAAGTTACGGAGTCGTGGAGCAGGCAGGAACTCCTCATGCAGGTTCGGGGTGGAGGAATAGGGATTTTATGACGAGGCTCTCCTGCCCCACCCCCTGATCATTTCCAGTCATTAGGCAGGCCCCTCCCTGCTTCCTGCAGCCTATTAGAGCACCTCAACTGAGTCAGCAGAATGAAGAGCAATTCCTTTTCTACCCACTGTGAAGTTTGGGGAGGATGCTAAAGCCCCTTTCTGCCCAGACCTGGCAGAAATACTGTCTTGAAATAGTACTGGTAGTGAAAAGTTTTGCATTTATGCAACAGCTCTAACTCCCAGGTGAAGTGCTTCTGAGTGATCAGATCACAGCTCTTGGAGTATCTCCACACTGCCACCATCATGTTGCAGAGCAGTAGAGAGAGATGTCAACAGCTTCTTTCAAACCATAAACTCAAATACGTGCAGCAGYCTTCCCGTAGCAGCACAGTTCAGGTAGGTAAGACCTGCAGTTCATCAAGATGACTCCATTGTGATTCCACAACTGACTGTAGGACCCACACTCTGCTGAAGCCACTTGGGGCATCTCTRTGCTACATTTAGCAACCTCAACATGTGCTCAGGATTCTTTGCCTGGATATTGATTGTATATTTAGGAAAAAAGCTAGTCCTTGTCCAGAAATCCTGCAGTTTGAAATAAATGAAACAAGAGGTAAGGGAGGATCTTTAAGCAGCAGGTGAAACTCGGGAGTGGAAGGGTGAGGCAGGAGGGAGGGTTGTGCTCTCCTGCGTGGGCCCAGGGAGCAGAGCAGTTCACCCATGCTCAGAGCTCACTTCAAAGGGATCTGTGGGTGCTGGTGCTCTCAGCAAGSCCAGGAGACACCTTGTGGGAAACTGCAGGGCACAAAACCCTCCCTGACTGCTCTGCACCCCAGCGTGCAGTGACTCACTGCCTGTAAAGTGTGTTAGAGCAGCCCTGAGCTAGCACACATGTGCAGGCTGGTAGATTTTGGAGTGTGCAAGATCAGATTCTGCCTCTGCCAGACTCTTTCTGGCCTCTCTGACTGATGAGAGGAAGCAGCAAGTACTCGCTCTTGCATCACAAAATTGATTATTTTAAATCAATCTTATTAATATTGGTGTTTAATGCACTTGATGCAGGCAAAGAAAGCAACCTTGCAAACTGCAGTGGATGACACCTAAATGCACTCCCCTGTGCCGTGGAGGCTGGTATCAAATAATTCTGCACAGAGGAAGAGAGGAGGTGCCCAAGGAACGTCACTGCAGTAAAATCCTCCTTTTACACACAAGTCACTTCTGTGTTGATGTCTGTGTGATASACGTATGATGCCTCTTGAGAAGATCTTATTCAAAATATGCAGTGGTGCTCTCTGGCAGTTTCCAGCATTAGGTATTTAATGGCCAGCTGCTTGCTCCATTGGCACACTTTACACTGCCTTCTCAGAATCAAAGGAAAATGGCTTGAAAATGTGAACCTGCAGCACCTGAAATGCTCCTTGAAGGAATGACCAAAAGATACTTGAACATGTGAATCTCTACCCCAAAGAAAAAATACCTCCTGTAACTTCTGTCATTATTACTTTATATCTGTGTTAAATGCTTAGGCACAGATTTAGGTGGAGCAGTGACAATTTGGGAATCATTTACTTGCACTCTCACAAAACTTGCCTTTCCATCTTCTGAAARAAGAACACTTCCCTGGAAATATTCMAGTATTAAAATTTAAAGTAGGAATCTGTTTTCATTAAAAACATCTGCAAAACATCCTCTGTCAAAGGAAAGAGGGTAGGCTATGCAGCTCAAACTTCCCCAAGCTGTCCCMGCAAATATATTCACCTGTACACATTTGTGCCATCCCAGCTGTTTCACAGCCAATAAAAGATTCCCTGACACTCTTATCCACACTGTTTTCAAGATCCATAAATGAGACACCACTTCACAATTAATAAAATTATTCCAGACTCAGTGCATCTTACACACTGAATAGTTTCCTGGTGTTCAGTCTATATTTTCCTCATCTCAGAATAATGTCATCATTGCCATACCCAAAACACGKTTCTAAATAATTCTCCCTCTGCTGCTCATGACCACCATCAAGATTTGCAGCTGATGTTTTCTCCCTTAACCACCTGTCCAAGTCATGCAAGAAGGCTTTGGAAAACAGTATCACTTAAAGGTTTGGCATCTTTGTGCCAGTCAAGAATAATAATCTTGTTTATGCAGGAAATACATGATTGAACTAAGAATTGAATACTCCTAACACCTGTAGCAGTAAGTCTTCGTCAGCACTGAGAAAACTTGATGGCTTATTCATTGGTGTTTAACACATCATCTGCTAAAAATAAAAAAAAAATCATGAACTTGCAGTTTGTCCCACACGATTTTTATAGGTAGAAATGTGTCATGAGGATTATAATTTCAGAGTGATTGCTGCTTCCAAGGTCATGTATTGTGCTGGGCTTTTTGCGTTTTTCATTAGTTCTTCCACAATTCAAGGACAATTTCAAAGAACCATAAAGCATGCATTAAACAAATTCATGTCTGAAGTGTAAAAAGCCATATACTGGCTCTTTATAGCAATCACATTGCCACAATAATAATTTTAAAATGCCAGTGATCTTCATGTACATRCTACTTACACTGTTTCTTTGCTTTTTAAATTTAGGGAGACTGYGCAACTGATGAGGGAACATTCAACAGCCCCTTTAAAGCCCTGAGCAATAGCAAGGAGAGTAAAAAGGAAGATGTCATTTTCCTYTGCTTTTCATGCACTTTGCAGTGCACATTTACATGCACATGACTTTGCAGCTGTGTGTTAACTAAGATGTTGTGGATACAAYAGATCATTCTGATCTGAGGCAGTCAAAAGTCATCTACACTGGTTTCCCCAACATGACATTCAGATAATTCTACACCAAGCCTCAATAGGTTGCAGGTAGGAGTAACAGCTGCTTTCAGTACCCCACAATTACCTTCTACACCACTTTGTCACCTTCTGATAACACAGGACTACAGAAACCTGTGACAAATGGGGGACTTCATCTTATTGCAAGAGAACAGAATCCTTGTACCACCCTTGGGATGACAATGGGCACAGTCATCATTTACACACCCTGAACACAACAAGAAGGGTGAATATTCAAAACACGTGCTGGAGGTGTTAAAAATAATAGCCAGATGTCACATTAGAAAATAATTACTCAGGATTAACGAATTAAGCAAATTAACAAACGGGGTGTCAGATCTGTAGCTGGGGGTTTTCTCTGGGTATTGCCTTTCTGTTTGTTTTCCTTGTTTTTTAATAATTCCACAAGCTACAAAATCTACAAAGACCTCATCCTGCCAATCAGACAAGAGGAAGCAGAGGCAAATTCCAATTACACTAAGGACCTAAGCTCAATAATCCCCACAGACAAGATTTACCATGGATTAAAAGTGTCACTTTCCTTCCACATCGTGACAGATTTCTGACTCTGAAAATTGATCTTTGACCAGGTTATTTTTGGCCTGCTACTAATCTTAAGCAACCCTTAGATATTATAAAAAAAACCAAACCAAAACCAAAAAACAACCCAGCAAAAACACCCAAACCCAAACCCAAAACCAAACAAGAGCACGACCACCCCTACACATATATGTAACATTCTTGTTCATATGCTGGCATTTTATTTTCATGTTTCTACATACCACACCTTCAAAACACCTGTTCTTCAAAACTCTYCTATATTCTTGAAATTTTTTATCACATCAAATTTTAAAAGAAAAAAATCACATCAGATTCMAAAAGGGATTTTCTGAGAAAGCATTCACGGAGAAGGTGGCAGAGGCATATGTTAGAGGAAAAAAGGCTCAAAAAAGATTTATCATCCATTTATAAGCAGGAGAGAACTTCAGTCTGAATCTGAGTTTAAATTCATGATAATAAAAGGTACRAAATCAGTCACTGGAGAGAGTGGTCACACTAGCTGAAGGGGTGGGGAATTATATTTTTGCTTAAAATGCTATTCTGATTATGACATATATGAAGGACTTCTGCTTTCAAAAGACTATTGAGAAACTGTGTTAAAACAATTCCATATGTCCTTGATACGTTTTGGAGAGATAAAATCTCACTTCTACTCACTCACATGAAGTAATTGGGCTGCTTTACCTTTCAAAAATCATCACTGAAGTGTTGGCCCATCTGTTAATATATGCAACCCTGCCTTCTGATTTGTTGCAACAGCATTTCAAATGCAATCCTCATCTCAAAAAGGAGAAGCTCAGAACATTTATCTCTCGCTCTGTAGATTTGAGCATCCAACACCACCTCTCTTTGCCTTTGCAGGAGCGCTTGGAGCTTGCCTGACCTCTCCAGGTTCACTCAGCACTTCAGGCACTGTTCAAGCAGCTTTTCACTGCCCTAACCCCATCAGACCAGAGGTGTGAGGAATACCAGCACCAGCCTGTGCCAGCTAATTACCCAGTAATTAGGCAAGACACGTAGCCCAGGACCTTTACAGRGAAATCTGGAGGCAATTTCAATCTGAACCAATACTCAGAATATCAGGAAGTCACCCCATGTTACCAGCTAATTAAGAAGGTAACTTCATCTGCAGTCAGCCTGTGAGATGTTTGAGCCCTAATAGACACAACAAAGATTCACAGCTAATTGTTTCCAGGATCATGACATTACCTTGTGTGACAGGTCACAAACAGGTGTTTTCCAAAAAAAAAAAAAAAAAAAAAAAAAAAGCAACAAAGGGCTGCTGACCTACTTGGTTCTTAAACAGAACAATTACATCAATGCTGAATCACTTGGAAGAACCCAGCTGATATGTCACCAAGCCTCAGCTCCATCCCTAAAAAAATACCTCCAATAATATTGAATGTGTCTCCACTGCCATTGTTGATGATTAGCTGGCAAGCCACTCGAACAAACATYTCTTYCCAYRTCCTTTTATGCTGCCTTTCACCATMACATCAYAGGCAGGATTCTGAGCTATGGCTGCAATGGGGACAGCATGAATAGGCTTTAACAGAATGGAATAARAAGCCYTTTCTTCCYCAAACAAGAAAAAGTAATGAATCTGTTTTGGAGACATCACACAAGCCATCAAGGCAAGACCTTTAAGCTTGACCATAAGACCTCCCAGCTAAAACATTTGTCTCATGCAGTGTAAGATCCTTGGAGCAGACCCCAASACAAACACCAGCATTTGTCTGACTTAGGTCAAAGCATTGAGCTGCTAAGCGAGACCATTGAGGCAACCTAAGGTTTTTAGTGGCAAGCTAAATAGGCCCAGATTTCTGAAAATGGACTCCCTTTCCTCAGCTCTTCTAAGCCATCCTAATTTTCCATATCAGCTGCCAAAAACACACATCATCACCACACCTTGGGTGACTAAACCTGAGGCCCAGTGCCAAGTGTTGCAACCACCAAAAACCAGTGGGTGAAATGCACCAAGCACRTATTGAGCTGCTTCTATTCCACCCTCCTGGTGCTCTAGTAATGAATCTTGAAAATCTTTTAAATACTTAAGAGATATTTTGTGAAATAATCACATTTTTAAACCCCCATTTCATTATTGTTTAAAAATAAAGTTATGAGCATAACTGRGCTGTCAGAGTGACATCTTCATTTTCTTCTTTACTCACAGAAAACTATTGCAGTTTTACTGGTGACACATAACATCAATTCATCCTGACCAAGGGCAAGGAAAGAAGGTGAAAAACTGACTTTCTGCTTAAGAGGGCTGGTGAAACAGAAAGATCTATCAGTATCTGAGAAAAGTCGTTGGATTTGACCACTTTAGATCCATGAAAAGGAGACACAAAGGTTACTGCCAACAGGTTCCTCTTATGAAGGGGAGACTTTAGTGGTTTGATTTATATTGCAGCAAATCTTGACAGACACCTGCTGGTGTTACCGCCTGCTGAATGAAATGATGCACTGAAAAGGACAGTCTTGGAGGTAACAACATAAAATGTTCTCTCCTGGCATTATCATTCCAGGCATCTGCATTCTCGAAAGCAGRGTTTCCTTCCAATTTTTATCTTTCATAGTTGAATTGGCATCTTTTCTTTCATTCTTCCTCAAAGGTTCTTAGCAAAGCTCATTGTTCCCTAGAGATTTGGTTCTCGGTATCAGAAGCAAGAATGACTTTTTCCCAGAACAACTCGCTAGCTGAGCTGAGTCCATAGAACTTAATGAAACCCCATACATCAATGACTTCAACTATAAATTTCGTTTTAATAAGATTATGCATGGGTACTTAGTATATGTACAGCAKCTATTACTCTGCATGTATATTGTTGCATACAACAGAAAATAAGACCTAAGAACAACCAGTCAAATGTATTTTCTTTAGCAACCCATTTTCTAGAACAAGGACGAGAATCTCATGAACGCTGTTCTTGGGATGGCAGTGGGAATAAAACTGTAGCAGCAGCAGCTACACACTGRCATCTCACTGTTGCAGAAGTCAAAGAGTTGGTATCACAAATTCTGTTGCCATCACAAACATCTGTGAATTTGCAGCAGGTGAATATTTATTAGTCCAGTAYCAAAACGTTTGTGCATCTCCTTCTGATGAGATTTTTCAAAACACACTTCAAGGCTGTTTACGTGAATCTGGTGCCAAATAGTTTTTTAGTCGCTTCTTTCGTTCCACCGCGGTTCTCAAAGCCTGAAGAATGAGCTGTTTGTTGTTCAGGATGTTGTAGCTGCACAGRTTGAGCAGTTTGTCAAAGTTCTCCTCAGTGTAGGTCAGCAGGCCAGTGCCATAGGGAGCAGCACAGTTGGACACTTCCACCCTTCCCTGCTCCATCTCCGCGGGACTGCGCTCCAAGTCTGAAACAACAGCAAAGCACAGCAAAGGTGGTGAGGTGGGAGACTGCTACCAGGCAATGCTGAACACAAATAAAATGAATTATMTCCTGAAAATGGTTCAAGATTTAATTGCTGTGTACCAACTATGTCAGCTGCACTAATAAAATCCACCAGTTCGCTGCTTGACTGTGGTTYAGAATTGACCGGCAGAACTTGTCCATGCGAAATGCTTTCCTCTCTAAATTAAAGTTTTGCATCAGAATATTTTATTTTTTAACATTTGGAATTTTGCATGTTTAACTTTTCAATTGAGATCTGAGATGACAGCTCCTTATCTACCAGCTGGTAAAAAATTATGCCAGAGAGTTCCTGGATTGGGAATCCTCTTTCTCAGGTGGCTGAGATTTAAAGCACATGCAGCAGAACACAGAAGGTAATGAACTGCAYGAGTTCTTTTACAATAAGCTTGTACACTGATTTTTGTTCATTTTTTGAGGAAAGTTTCCTGGATCATACAAAACTAGCAACAAGAAAATTGGAGTTGGTGTGCGTGAAATTATTTGTAAACTGAAACTGAATTTGCCAAGTAGTTTTTTTTCTGGTAAAAAAAAAAAAAAACCAACAGATTTCTTTTGCTTTTCAGTCTGTTGCTGAACTACAGAAAGCAATCAGGCAATTTTTCAAAAATTATAGGTATCAAAGTAGCTTATTATCTGTTATTATCAGGTCTGTTATCCTGGCAAAGCCTTTGCTTTATTAGAAATTGTCAGCACTTTCTATTCTCATTTYTTTTCATAGAAAACAAGGAATAGGAGAATTCTAGCTTTGTTAACCAAGTAAACATTATATGTCTTTATGAGGCTGTTAGGTGACAGTGTTAGCTGTCAGTGGATATAAATTAGTAGCTGTCTGCTCTCCTTCATTATCAAAGGAACATGAACTGCTCCAGGTGCCASAGGGGGTTTCCCTCGAGGTACAGCTACTCATGATTTTATTTTGGAACTTCTTCATTCCAATCCCTGGTTAGCTGGCCAACACTATGTGCATAACAGCAGGACTGGGATGTAATAACTTGGCCAACTCAGGACCTTGTCAGGGTCTTGTTTTGGAAGAGGAACAAATTCAATGGATAAACCGTATGAGACAATCTCAAAAAATGTCCAGTGCTGTCAACTTACTCGGTGCCTTGTATTTTTGGAAAGTGTCACACACCAGTGGRAAATAGGCCAAGATTGGTGCCTCTAAGCTGTCCTCAAACACATAGCACTCCTTCAGGTGTTCCCGGTGCTCCTGGCTCAGCTCTGTGCTGGGGAAWGGGATCCCATGCTCCAAGCAGTACTTTGAGAATAGTTCCAGGGGCTGGCTCAACAGAGAAGAGAATTTCAGTATAAAGAGAGGTTGAAATAAGACCACCAAGCCACAAAACTAAAATTTTGCTGCACTAGAAAATTTGAGATTGATTCAYATGTTTATAAATAATGCTAACTATGCACTAGAACAAACATACCATCTTCATTTTGATATATCCTAGGTAATAGAAATGTGATTGATTTGCTAACACTTCATATTTTTAAAGCAAGGTTACTATTACTGAAATTTATGAGTCATGCAGATAATTTYTGTGATTTAGTGACCACATTTAGAGGATTTGGATAACATGTGGCTTCACAGGTTCTTCAATGTTTGCATTCAGTGCGTCCAACTCTTAGTCTGTGTCTTAATGTCCTCTTAGAAATAAATTACCTTAATATCAATCAAATAAGCCCCTCAATTTCATTCCAAATTTCAAAATTATGTGTTAACTAATTACATTATAAAAGTTAGTTGACTAACTTGAGGAACTTGGTACCAGGGTGACAGATAGACAGAACAGGACAACTTCTACATGTCTGTGTTCATATACATGTCCCAGAAAGACACTGAAAACAGCCCTGATAAAGGCAGTGACACGGTCACAGTGTGGAACAGTACCATTGATACRATCATTTAACTTAATGAAAACCAGACCATTTTCTGGAGGGGGAAAAGAAAAAAAAGAAGAAGAGAAAGGTGTGGTGGTATTTCAGTTGCTGCAGTCATACAGATAAAGAATCACTGCTTCTAAACATCACCAGAGTCTGTGATCCTCCACTGTAATTCAGATGGATAATGACATCCACTTTTCTCTCTGGCCTCAGGACGGGTGGGCAGCTGGTGTTGATGAAGAAAGCGGTGTCTATCAGCTTGAGGTAGTCACTCATTTCATTCAGCTGGTTGGGAGAAGAATCCAGCACTGTGTCTGAAAGGCAAAAACTTACATTATTAATTACTGCAGAATCAAGTCCATTTTTTTCCAACATAACAAGAGGAGAAAGATAAAAAATAYGGTTTATGTATTTTAGTCTTTGATACAAAGCCCACTGTAAAGTATTTGCCTTTGACACAATTTTAGCATCTATAGCTCAGCTCTGASATCAGTAAGAGGGAAAGTTCTGAGACTCAGCTTCATCCAAAGTGATATGTTACTCTGCTTTTTCAGCTGGTGTAAATTTGTGGTGATTTCACTTCCATAGAAGCTTCAAGTCAGTCTTTTATGGAATAAAATAATTCAAGCAAGCCTGCTGTACTTTCTCCAAGACAGAAACAAGACCAGGAGTAAATCATTGGGGGGTTTGGCAAAATCAATTCCACAAACAYGTTAATCAAAGAATATTAACAAAAATTTTCCTTTATGACAAAGCTTATCAAATATTTGTACTCGGCAAGTATCAACACTCAAATCTCTTTCAAAGTCACATCTAAACCAATTCACAATTACCTTTCCACATGCAAAAGTTCTCATTCTCCAAATACTTGTCATGTAGCTGCAAGCCCTTGAGGAAGTTATGGTAAGTTGAAACCACCGGCCGTCCGGTCATCATTTGTCTGAGAGTTTTGGAAAGGGAACCTTTGGGAATGGACAAGGAGGCTGTCTGTTCGTGGGGCCTCTTGGGCAGAGCAGGATGGTCCTCTGTGGGGAGAAGAAGAGTKTGCATGTCTGCATTGGGTCAGTGTTTCTCTGATAATAATAATGACCAAACCACCAYGGCCCCCATCCCCATCACAGTGTCCTGGGCAGGGGGTTCCAGTGTCACACCATCACCTGGCTGTTCCCTGTCCGGCCTCTCCCTCCCCAAAGGGCTCTGGKAACCCTCTCGTGACTAACAAAACTCCCCAGGCTCATTGCACACTGAGCAGCACAATGAGCAGCACAATGTTTTTTCCTGTTTTACAGCACAACTGTTTGTCTCCTGCTTCTTCTTCATTCCCAAGTGCTTGGTGTCCCCTGAGCCAGAAACAGGACACAAAAACAAACCCTTTACCAAATGTCAGGTTTGACATTTCAGAGGGGTGTGAAGACAATGGAGGTGCAAGGGAAAAATAATCTAAAGAACTAACCAATGTCTTGCTCAGTGTCTCGAGTCCATCTGTGCCAGAAGTGTTCTGAATGACCTGAGAGGTAGACRGCATCCATAAAACTATGGGAAAATATATTGCTCCATGTGCCTTGAAAGTATGAAAAAAAAAAAAAAGGTTCCATACTTAACGTTAGTTTGAATTTTTAGAGCACAGCTATGGCAACATACTTGGATCCAGTCTCTGTTTAAATTATGAAATACTGTGAATTTTCATATAAATATCAAATGCCACGCCATTCCACACAATGCCTGGCTTATGACCAGGCCAATTTCGAAACTTGACTGTCTATAAAAATAGACTGTGATTTTAAATACTTCAGATGATCAGTTTCTGTGYRTATGCATTGTGTTTTGTTTAGGTCYAACCTAAGATATTCAGCAAATCAGCCACATTTGTCTCAAGAATTTCTTTCYTCTTCTGTCACTTTTGGCTCATTTGAAATTGAAATTGCATCAGATCCACTCTCTGGMTGCTGGTATTGCAATTTCAGACCCCCTCTGTGTAGGCAGCTATTAAGGGGATGTTTTCCTGAGACAGTAAATTACCTTCCAAGAAGCAGATGTGGGATTCTGGGATCTTCTTCATCCGGTGACCCATGAAGAACTCACTCCCAAAATCCTCTGAACGAACAAAGGCCCCRTATTTCAGCAGCCCCACCTCATAAGGTGTGAACTCCACCCACTCTGCAAATAAGGCATCAAACTGGATTTATTGCAGCCACCTGAACACGTGTGAAAATCAGCTCAGAGAATCAGAAGCTGGAAGAACAAGGCCAATACATTCACCATGATGATGACAGCTCAAACCACCACGTTTTGAAACAAACAAGTGATATTCAACATGCATGAACGCAAAAGCTAAATTCATCTCCCCCACCAAAATCCATTCATCCTGGGATTCAGGTCCGTTTCTGCTCTAAGAAGCAAGATCTGGGGCTGCAAGTCCACTGACAGCTAAGGCCCTGCACATGATGTGGCATTTTTAGTTCCTCTGAGTCAGCAATGACACCAGCTGCCATTCATTTTTAAGACTCTCATACTCACTGCCTTGAGGATAAAAAACTTAGACCAAACCCCCTCCCCACACAGAAACCTTGGCAGAGTGCACTGGGACTGCAGATGTGCCTGGAAGCAGATGACCAGGTTCAGTTGCAGGGTTTAYTTTACTTGCACTGGAAAATGCTGTGGGAATAGGGATGAGAGTCACTGATCAAGGCACAGAGCCCTGCCCCTCCTCAGTAATAGGATGCATGTTTTTCATCCAAGACAGAAACCAGATATGAAGAAGGGGGGAAAAGAAATTATTTAAAAGATTTATTGGCTTGGACATACAGTAAAAACTTCTGGCATTCAACCAGCCTTGAAAGGAAACTTGAAAGAGTGATAGGAGCGTGTGTGATAATTTATACCTTTAAAATCCAAAGTGCTAAAGTCATCCTTGACATTGAGGGACAGGTATATGGGGAGTGGATTCTGCCCCTGGTTTACTGCTAGTTGCTGATCCGAGAGTTTGTGAGTACTTCCCTGTTTACAAAGAGCAGAAGTCATTGTCAAAAGATGAACATGATTTAATGGATTTAATACAGTTTCTAAGCGTCAACTATCAATGAAGTATCTGCTCAGCCTCAGCAGGTTTTGTTCTGTGTGCTTCAGCTGTTTGGCCACACAGGCGTGCTCGTGGGTTATCTGCCATGAGCCTTCCCCAAAGCATTGTGCTTATGGGAGTTTGGGCATGGGAACAGGGCAAAAATGCAAGAAGCTTATCTGGGATATGACTTTCTTTAAGGACAGAAAGATATTCATCTGTCTTGGAGGTGCTGCAAAGAAAAGTCACCCCAGACCCATTTCCTTCAATACAGCTGATGGGTAAATACTGCTGCACCTGAACTCTGTCAGAGCCACCTCTCCTCTGTGTGTTACCTGACCCAAAACTAAAGATGGAATATCWGTTTCCTTAACATCTTGAATTTGTGCACGCTCTAGATGCTTACATTTAGGGTTACTTTGTTATTTTTGTTCTAAAAAGCAGATGAATTAGACCCTCAGACATTTTGAGAGCCTTTTCTCTAACTGAACCCACAACATTAGACATGGGAAGTTAGAAATCCTTCAGAATAAGAGAAAGAGAGAATAYCAAATACCTGATGATGCAGCATACAATCAATGAAGAGTCCCCATAAATCTGTAAAGGACACCTTGTGCCCCTCTTGCTTCCTCTCACAGAGCTCATCTTCATAATATTTCATGTGATCCAAAGAGAAACAGTGCAGCTTGCTCTTGGTCACGTGTTTCCTGATATCGCCAATGGGCCCTCTGAGATCCTTCTGGGACCAATTTGCATCTTCATATAACTTTGACATGGTCCTGGATAAAAGAAAGGTACCATGACTTATCACAGGGCATGTGATAATTCATTTGGCCTGTGACATACAGAAGTGTTTTGTTTCAGGCTACATTTCAGGGCTCTTGTCCTCCAGATTTTACCTTGAGGAAGCATTTCAAAGTTGAGACAGAATTATCATAGTTTCAATTTTTTCTGCACAAATACATTCAAAATCATCCTAGCTTGTTTTACTAGAACTACTTTTTGACTGTCCAAGCCACAGTTTCTGTCTGAGGCCAGTTCCCTTAGCTGGGTCAGACCCTGTGTGAAATGAGATGCTGGAGTTTAGCAGCAAATATTGCCCTGGCGAGTGTGAGAGYCCCCTCCTTGGGTGTGCAGCAGGTGGGTCACCTCAGACTCGTGGCATGCATAAGGGCAGGCTTGAGCTGCCATCTCCCAGAGCTCAAGCAGACTCCAGTCATCTCCTCATTCCCACCCCTCCTGTTCTAGCTCTGTCTCATATCCGTATAGAGCAACCTTTCCAAGGCAAAATGTGTTAAATCCCTTGATCCCTTGACCCCTCCTGTGTAAATACATGTGTTTGTGTAAACACTTCAGTGCAATTATAGAAATATTGTCGCTCTCATTTGATTTGTTTCTTGTAGCTGGAAGAAATAAGGACAACAGCACAGAGTGGTCCCATAAAATGAGTGCTAAAAGGAAGCRGAGTGAATTCAAGCTGAGTAAATTCAAGTGAATTCACCAATGAGGCAAAATTGGTGAATTCAGTTATCATACAAACAGCTTCACCAGGTTATCACACAAACAGCAAGCACAAGCCCAGCTCCCCTTACCATGTYGTGGCAGATAAACCACTGATGTAGSACACACAGTCCAGGACCCCGAGCTGCTGCAGAGCCAGGAGGCTGCCGAACATCGCGGTCATGGAGCGCACTCCCCCTGCGGCCGTCACCACTGCCACCACCGGCACCTGCACACACACAGGSTCACTCAGCGGTGGCCATGCAAAAGAAAGTAACATCAACATCTGATTCAGGCAGGTGTTAACTAATTCACCCTCTTCAGGGCAGTGCTGAGACGTGTGTTTGAGTTGTGTAAACTTCAATGGAATTCACCACATGCTGAAAGCATTTTCCTGATCAGTGATGCTTTGGAAAGTCAGGAGCCTGGGAAAGTGCAGTTCTTGTATGGGAAAACATATTTGCAGATTTTCTCAATGTGTTCCATTTTTCCTCACCTCTTCCCTTCAAAGCACATTGTAAAGCTCTGTATAGTATAATTAAGGTCAGAAGAGCAGCACAAAACCTGCCTGCATAATTCTTTTCTTCCTCTAAGTGTACATAAAATATTTGCTATTCTCCAGGCAGATAGCACCAAGCTTTATAGATTTATCTAACACCCTCTTTCTAAAGCAGATTATTCTTTAGTGAGAATATGTGGAAGAGCTGGAAGGGTCATCACACAGGTACATCACATCCACGTGCCTCAAAGTGGGTCATAAATCCTTCAAATTCCCAAGATGCTGTCCCCCATACCTCATCCTCCTGCAGGTCTTCATCTAGATGAAGAACACTTTTCAGAGCAGCAGCAACCACCTTCTTCCTTTTGCAGATGAACTCCTGCTCCTCCGTGCACAGATCAAACCCCAAGCGCAAATCCAAATTCTTGCAGCTGGAACAGGAACAACACAAAGCATCACCTGCAGCCATTTCTGCTGGGGACCCTCAGCAAAACCAACAACAAACCAGTCTGAAGAAATGATACTTTCATGTGCATCAAGGGGCCCCTATGCAAATGAAAGATAGATGGATATCACAGGCCCCRTATTTGTGCCTTCCCAGGGAGATTTTAGACCAGAATTATGTCCTGAACTACTATATTAAACCTTAAGGAAGTTAAAAAGAGAAAAGTTTTTGCAAAGAAACAGAATTCAAGCTGTTTCATACTGAACTCAGATATCTGGGCACCTCCTATTCATATTCTCTCACTATGCATGAGTTGCCTGAGGCACACAGTTATTTAAGTAGTTGTTTAAACTCCACACTTTATTTAAAAGGACCCTAATACCACATTCAGCATATCTCTACAAAGGACTTGTGCTCTAACTATTAGAGTCAGAAGATGTCTCTTAAACTTAACTCTTCTTATCTGTACATTATTATAAATACAATTTTTATAAATATCATAAATATTATTATAAATATCATCAGTGCATGATTCATTCTATAAGTTATATTTTCACAGGGTCGCTGTTCCAGGAGTTATTTTTCAGGGAAAAAAAACAACAAAAACAAAAAAAAATCAAAACAAACAAAAAATACCTACCCCAAACAAAAACAATTTTTAAAAAATCAGCTCACTGCCTCTGCTCTAAATATTATTCAGTAAAAACCTTTGATTTATCATTCACCTACAGCCAGCACTTGCAATGAAGCTAACTCATCAATAGGGGGTAATGTTKCCATTCAGAAATTCTCTGCAAGCTGGTCAATGAAATAATTACTGTCCATGTGTTTCATTCAAAAAATATCTGTAGAGGACTTGTAAATGCATAGCGGCGTTAGAAAAGTAGTACACATTATAGATAAACGTTACAAGACAGTTAAAGTATCAACATTAGGAAAAACATTGGGACTGTTTATACTCCACAACTTATTCTACAGCCTTTTCTATTCTAAACTCTTACTAACCAATTTAAAAGCTTTAAATCTTTTTATTTAACCATTCCCCATAGTCTCTTCAACCAAGTACTTCTTTATTTCCTATTTTGAAATGACCTACTTTAAGCTGCAGCCTCCTTTCACCTCAAGATGATACCGCGAAAGGAGGGGAGATGGTCTAAGTAATCAKCCAAAAGAAATAAAAGATTTACCCATTTTCCTCCTTCACAGACACCTCATAGGATTCTCTCTGTAAATCAAGAATGAAAACACCATAAATTTTAAATTCAGAATTGAAATTTTGCAAAAGCAAGTTTTACGGTATTAGCAATAATTTACTATGCAGTCTAATGAGAAATTTTTGGTCTCTTCTCAGGCCTTCAGCACACAATCCTCATGAGGATCCTGCTTTTAAAATACTTTTAAAGCAGCCAGAAATTCTGAATATCCTATTTTTTTTCCTGAATAATGGTTATATTTCTGAGTGTATGCAGAGCTAGGCAGATAAATAACATGCTAATGCATTCATAATAACAAAATTAATATTTCACATATATTTAGTTAATCTTGTTGAAAGAATTGCAAATACTACCACAGGATACTCACTCTCATCACTGTCACTTTCTTTCCCAAGTCCAGAGAATGCAGAGGCACAGCCACAGGACCACTTASATCCATTTCCCTCCTACCTGAGCCATGCTGATTTAAGGATGGGGGAAAAAACATTATAAGGAAAATATTATTTGTAAACCATAGACACAAAAATACCAGAAAAGATGCAAAAATATCAGAGGCAGATTAACTCATAATTCTTCTCCCAAAAGTTACTTTAGGTGTGATCACCATCCTGAAGCAAAACATACACAACAGAAAAAACACTCCTTGGGCAGAGTCATGAGCAGCCGGGGTTCACTGTGTTTGCTGTAGTGGAACCTGGTGCTTTCACTGCTTCCTGGTCTGCAGTGAGGACCTATGGAAATATCCCGGGTTTCTTCATAGGATCCTTTCATCGTGAACGTGAAATCTCTCCCTAAGAGCAAGAAGCAGACCACAGASAGGTGTTAACTGCACCAGCCCTGAAATCAGCAAATAAAAATGCCCCAAGAGACATTCCAGCCCTAGTGCAGCAGGTTTAACCAAGGTTAATTTGGCCCACAATTTTTTCCTCCACCGGAACCATGTGCTACCCTCGCCCCTTGGGGCTCCCCTGGACTGCGGGGACTTAGGACTGACACAGCTCTTAAGTTTGCCTTACTCAGAGAACTGATCCCAAAAGCTGCTGGCAGGGTCTGGGCTGACACCCCGACAGTTGAGGCTCCTCCCTTCATCCCCTGAGAATTACAAAGGCACTGAGCTTGAGGGGAGTTTTTAACAGGCACTCTGTACACAATTCTATGTGTGAAATCATGCATGCATTCATTTGAATACCTCATAGCAAGTAGGAAATTCAGGAAAAACTTAAACCCCAAAGCAGCCCTGATGCAAACAGAGACCAAATATTTATCTAGATTCTGCTGCATTTCCCATAGCACAAAAAAGCAGCGACAAGCAATTTAAGCCAGCCTCACTTTTGCAAGAACTCCTCATTTTTGTTGCATTCACATGTACTTCCAAACAGGAAACTTCACGAGACTGGAAGAGAGAAGCAATAAARTCACTGGTCACAGAATCAGTTCAGGACTCTCACTGCAGATGTAGGCATCCTATAGAAAAAAAAGCCAGGCTTGGCTATGATGGTCTGTGGACATGAAGAAGTTGTAGAAGCTGATTATCTTGGGTAAATCTTGCAAGAAATACTGTGGTCAATGAAGCCAAAATAATTTGGGATCTGTCATCACATTTAAATATCATTCAGCCCCCAACAGTGAACACAAGAACTTTTCCTCCCTGTCTCCCAATCACATCCTTCAGTTCTGCCCTGCCATAAAACTGGCATATAAAAAAAAATAATTACCACGAGTACGCCATTAGTAATGATCTTCTCAGATACACCTGGTCTGAAAAGCAAAGCCAAAAAGGTTTATTTTAAAGTATATAAATAATAAACTTGCAGAAGMAAATAGTTCTCTGAGTTGAGTTTTTCTAGCTGGCAAGAACCACCAGAATTCCATCTTTCCCCTCTGTCTCGCAGCCTCTGCCAGATCAAAGTCCAGTATCTTCCCAAGGATGCTCCTTCTTTCTTATCTCTCCTGATGGGTATCATCTTTCCTTAGGCTCAATCACAAAATAAACACCCATTCTCAGCTATAAATAGCAAGATTATCACTCAAATTCAGGAGAAAAAAGCAGCAAGGGGGAAGATGCCAAGATGGGTTGTCTGAACACAGGTACCTGGAGCCACTTCTCCACTGCTGCATTACCACTCTCTCCAAAACAAAGTTTTATGATGACAAATTCTGTAACATTTCTCTACTTACATGTTTTCCAGTAGAAATTCCACTTCTAGTTCTTCCTTAGTCTGAAAATAAGATCTATTTTTAATTTACGAACAAAAAATATTTTCCTTTGATACAGATCCGATGATTATTTTATAACTCCCTTGCAAGGTTTTGCTATTGAATGAATAAAGTTTTCCATGGCTACTCTTTGATTCCATTTCTCCACTGCTCTACTGTTTAAAAGCCAGCAGTCCACTCAAGAGAAAGAGAAAATTAAGTATCATGGAATAGGGAGGGTCCCATTATTCATTATTAGTAGGATAAGACATGGGTCGGTCAGTGCTGAGGAAGGGAAGAATAGCAGGTGAATGATGTAGGAGAACATACTTAAGAATAAATTAACATAGTTAATTTACTATAGTAGTTAATAGTTAACTACATAGTTGATTTATTGATTTATTTATTGAATAAGGAGTATGCCTTGGTTGAAACAAAATAATTTGCAGAGTATAGCGATTAAACATTAAAAAAGGTGGTAGAAGGGACCAATTTGGAAAATAAATCTGCCAGGGTGAAGGGAAGAAAAGAGAAGACTGAAGCTGTGAAGGGGAATCAGGGGAAGAACTCAGGAGAGACAAATCAAGAGGAACAGAGATGGGAAAATAAAACAATCAGAGCAGCAACAGAGTAGAACATCGAGAGTGTAAAAGAGGCCGAACAACTTTACTCCAGCCACTTTCTGCTCTATGGGATACAGCCAATCCTGGAAACATCACACTAAAAAAAGAGTATAGCAGAGAGAACTTCTGGATCACCCACGGGGAGGAAAACATTAGTTATTGGGCAATGTAAATCTCTTTCTCACAAGTGACAGCAGCACTTTTTCATTCATATTCAGAATAACTAACATTTACTGACAAATATTGCTTCACATCATACTTTAACTCTGAATGAGTGAGAAAAACATGCCAAGTCTGACAATGCAGCTGCCATGGCAAGATCATCTTTGCAGTAAAACTGAGGAGTAATTTTATATTCACGACTTCACAATGGTAAAAGAGACATCTCCTGTGGCTTCCCTGAGAGATGAATCTGTGGCATGGAACCCAGCAGCAGGGAGTTCTGCTCGCTGATTTATCCCCAAGTCTTTAAGTCATGAGAATTACAGTGGTTGCAAGTTTGTAAGAGAAGGCTGAGGCACAGATTTTAGAAAGCAGTCACCTTACACAGATGCAAGGCAGACTGTATCAAATACCTGTGTGTGATCCAAACTAACAGATGGTCTGTTCCAACCCTGTCCAGAGAACAGCAGAAACAAGGCTCACAGCATCTGCCTGATTGTGTTCCCATCCTTCTTATACTGTTTTACACACACTCACACAAATTATATTTCTGTTGAGTCCCAGTCATTTCTGTGGCGGAAAAGCCCAGAGCACAGCAATRGAAAGACTTGTTAGGCCACAGTGAGCAAGAGGCTGAGCAAGGCAACCCTGCTGGTCTGACATGACCCTCCTGACTCCTCAGCCCTCCTGAGATGCCCTGGTAGATGAAATCATTATGGGCAGAGGCAGCCCTAAAGCCGATTATTAAGGTTGCCCAGCCTATTCCATTACTAAGCCACTTTCAAAAAAATAAAATAACCATAAATCTTCTAAAAACCCACGGAGAGACCATGATGCCTGATGCCTCATGGGTGCCTGGTTTGTCACAGAATGAAGAAGGGCAGCTTGCCCAGGACATTTCCTGAGACACAGCTCAGCTGGTCTGACCTCCAGCACTCCCATCTGGCCAGTGGGCTCGGACAGCTCTGCACATGGCTCAGGGCAAACTCAGGGCTGCAATCAAACCTGAGCTGCCTCAGCCACGGAGGCTTTTCCTGAGGAAGGCTGTAGAAGCTGCAACAGGTTTGGTTAGCAGTCCTCAGCAAGCACTGGCCTTCTAAAAGAGTAGTTAAAAAACACTCTCCAAAGCAACAGTGATACAAAAAACAGGCAAGAGTGTTTTCCAAAGAGCCTGACACAGTGGTTTAGAAATAAACAGAGCACAGCAGTTCACACTGAAGCCCTTGGCAGAAGTGTGAAAAAGCCCTGAAATTTGGTTGCTACACCCTCCAAACARAGAAGGTGTTACATTTTGCAGAAAGGAATCTGAGTAGATATTCTGCTCTCGTTGAAGATGAGTGTGATTTCTCCACCTGTCTTCTCAGCAACTTCATCCACTCAATATTTGACAAGATACTCTTTATCTCCTCTTTAATACAACCAAACTCAGTATTCTTTGAGACACATGCAGGAAATAAAACTCTTATTWCATTCACTGACTTWAAAGAAAAAAAAAAAACRAAATWCTGATGAGATTGTCATTCATCAAGCCTGTCCATTCTGTGTTGGCTCAGTCTCTCTAAAAGAAATTTCTAACTCTGTAAAAAAAGGGCACAAGTAGACTTGCTGAGATTTTTTTTCTTACAGCTGTTTATCAGAAGGAGGAAAAACCCCAAGATACTATCATGAGAATGAAATGCTTCACCACCAGGTGCATTATCTGAAACCTGAGAAAAGCCCTGGTGAAGCTGAGACAAGATACCCCTAGTGAACTGCTGGCCAGAGGGTCAGGAAAGCTGCCTGGAAAAGGGGACAGGTTTCTTCCCACCCCTGCTCTGTCCTATAACAGCAGTGACAGCCCTAACCATTAGCTTTTTAAATTTTGACTCTTGTTTTTCTTTTCAAAATATATTTCTGAAATCTAAAAAATCAGAAAAATTCTAAATATGGAAACTATTTTGCATCTAATTCCAATCACAACAGGGGGTCTCCTAGAACCCAAGCATTTAACTTTTTTTTAGTAACATCCTTTTTAACAAAGTCATTGTGTGTGAGAACCAATTTAATGTTGAATAGAGGTAGTAACTTGAGACAAAATTCTAATCAAGAGTATTATTGTCTCTATCCACTCACCTCTRGATTCAGCTCAAAATTCAGGTGAACTTTTTCTCCAGGTTGAATTTTAGCCACATCRAAGCAAACAGTCATAAGCTCGTCATCTGGTGTAAAAGTATCCTTGTCACAGACTGTCAGCTCCAGGATGTTCTGAGGAGAGARGCRRAGARGGATGKAAATGACAAATTCTGGGATTACTGRGCCCAAAAGGAAGATCCAGCAGGAGCCAGCATTCATCCTTGTGTGGTTCATGTGGACAGACTCYTGTGACAGCGTGGAGCTCAGCTCACAGCCCCTGTGGCTCAGACTGTGATTTCAGGGACTAACCCCTGTTACCCTGGAAGGGGTAAATCATCAGATTTGGCTGACAAAAAGAGCTCAGAGGAAGAGGCAACATGCATGATGGTAACAGGCACCAGACAGAGCAGAGGGTACACCCACTGTTCATCAGATCCTTGGCGAATTCAAAATTATTACCTTGATGAATTTTGGCATTTCATCAGGAAGTACTAAGAAAGGGGAAATTCTTAGCCCTTTACAAATGGAAATTAAAGCATATCACCAAACTCTTAACAGGATCTGAACGACAGCAATTCCCCTGGCAGTTCCTCAGGGCTCAGATCAGCCACAGAAGCATGAGAAGGTGCAGCACTATTAAACCATGGGAAGGTCACCCAGTGTCTGGACTTTGTACCACTTGCACCCTGACTGCTATGAACATTTTAAGTTTTTTACAACTGTCCTGGGGCAGGAAGAAGCATTCAACATTATTCCAGATATCCCAGAACCTTCTGAGTTTAAACTCCTTCTTTCAGACAGCTTAACTGAGTTCAAGCTCTGTGTGAACCTCAAGCCTCCCACAGTCTGTGTGCAGCAGGGGAAGATGCTCCCTTTGTAAAGCACCTGCTCAGAGTCACAGCCACAGATCCCACCTTSACTGCACTCTGAATCACAAAGTGGAAAGTTTCATTCCAGGCAGGGTTTCTGCAGTTGTGTACTGTTCTTGTCCGGATTTCCCGGTGTGAAGCTGTCGGCAGCMGCAGTTTGATGTAGCAATCAGTCTGGCTCCCTGTGGTGATAACAAATGGCATCATTAGTGCAGCGGGACTTTGTTACTATTTCAGTCAGGGAAAGAAAAGATTAACCTCTGAGCATTTGTAAATATTGCATTAGACCCAAAGGAAAATGTTCTGGGTTTACAGTTGAACTTTTCTACATATATTTATATCAAACAAAAGCCAATTTTAAACCAGCATTTCTATTAGATAACAAAGGCCAAAATAATTAATTTCAACAGTCCTGAATTAAACACCCTGCCTCCTGTGGGTTTTTAACTCCTATTTTCAAATATTTGCCAGGCTCCAAAAATATTCATATACAACTTCTTGAAATTTAATTTTTTTTAATAAAACAGAAAATTTCATTTGGGGGATTTAAATCCAATTGCAATACACAAGTCATCCCCAGTGATACAGCAATGAAGACACAAACACAGCAGCATCCAAAGCAAGTACTGATTTTTCCTGTATCTTTCACAAAAATGCTCCTTTCAGAAGGGAATTGGGCAACCTGTGAAAAAAGGGACACTGAAATGTTAGGAGAAAGGGAAATATCACAGAGCATCTGATAGAGGGAAGGTAACCTCTTTTCCGGCACAGAATTTCTATTCTATTTAATTTCTGGTTTTTAACTGTTTTTTTGTAAATTATTTTGAGTTTAAATGAAAATAAAAATAAATACAACTTATTTGACCAAAAAAGCCCTGAGATATTACTGTAATCCGAGCAAGACTGGTGTWCAAGAGTATWAAAATCAGGTGATAGTAATTTTCTTGCTAAGCTRTAARCATGCCATCAGTGATACTTACACAGATCTGCTCTGCGGAGATTTCTCATTCTTATGATTTTTACAGAAAGCCAGCACAACTGAGGCACTTCTGGCTGCAGAACAATGAGAAAAATATCTTCATTATTAGCAAATAACTCAGATATATTTAACATAGCTTATCCYACTACATCATTCTCTCAGTAATGTGTTGAATATGCTTTCATTTTAAGTATTTGAGTATTTTCTGAGAAGAAATACTTTCTTGTGATTTGACATTGAGTAAAGGTAACCTGCCATTCATAGATAGTGTGTGCATTAATAGAAATTAAACAGCATTAACACAGCAAGCAGAACTGGTATATGTACACAAATCAGGGTTTGTTACAGAACCAGGACTGAAGAAAACCAGGAATCATTAAAGCCCTAAACACTGTAGGAAAATGGAAAGCTGAGAATACAGAGCAAAATTACCAGTGTGTTAGATCAAGCAATTAAACACAAATAAGCAAGAAAAGCTATAATTGTGCGTGAATACAAAAAAAAAAAAAAAAAAAAAAAAAAAAAAAAAAAAAAAAAAAAAAAAAAAAAAAAAAAAAACAAAAAAAAAAACAGAACAGGTGATTCAGAATGTTCTTAAACAGGACAAATCTAGGCTGGCCTGATAAATTTACCCAGGAGAAGCACTGAGGTATAGCAATATCAACCCATCATGCAGGGTTCTGCAGGGGAATAGCTTGAAGACTCCATAACTCTCTCCATTTTTTCTGCTCTCCCTCCACTCCCCATCACAGCCCCACAAAACCCTACACTTGGTTACAGAAAAAAAAAGACAGTCTTGATGAACACCAAAAGTAAAAAATTACATGCAGAAGGAGTTGCTTCATTAATTAAAGTGAAAGCAGCAATTAAATCTCAAAGTACTCATGATTTCTGAGAAGCCTCCCCCTTAGGACCTCCTTGTGTACCTCTTGCTTGGATACACCACTGTCCTGACAGAAGCAGATCAACCATCTAGAAAGCAGTAAATCACCAGGCCAAATGTTATTTACTGCCCACTGGGAAGCTTCTCAGCTCAATATTATTATCTCAGAAGTGTCATTTGAACAAAACCAGGAGGTCTGAAAGAAACCCACCCACCTCAGCTAATTCTTGGTAGCAGTATGGAGATAGAGAATGAAGGAAAGTGTGTCATCCAAACTGCTGAAAGCTCAGTACTTCATCCCAACTACAGAAGATTAATTTTTCATCCTCAGCTTTAGTACCACCCATATCCATGTGTTTGGAGAAAACTTACTCTGAGATGGCCTAAGTATGAAGCAAATATGCAGACATAAACCAAATCATTCCACAGTGCCAGTAGTTAGTGAATTCACTGCTYCCCCAGATCTAGCAGAGAAATAGCCTTACACTTTTGCACTGAATACAGGTAGGGAGCACACTGAGAAAACTATGGGGAGAAAAGAGATATCATACTATTTTTATTTTTTGTTTAAGTTACTTAATATCTTTTTAATCACCGATTTTTCACAAAATTGAATAATTTGCAGACATCTAGTATATACAATATTCATCATTTTCCAAAAACAGTTAATCTTCATAAAAATAAGTGTTCAGAAAAGTGGCAGACACTGGAATAAGCCACTTTCTTTGCTGATCTGCCTTCATAAAGTAAAGGAAAACAATTTAAGGACTAAGCCTTGGGTGTTACAAGGTATGTCTACCATCATAAGATGCAAACCACAGTAAACCAAGACTAAGATCCAGCTCTCCCAGTTCCTTGCCTAACATTCAGACCACAAGTTCATCATCTTCCCAACCCTTAAGCCACAGTGAATGCTTTGCACTCTCAAGAGCACACTCACACAAGAAGCAAATATTCCCTTAACTAGCTGTTAATAAATGTCCCCTCTCACAGCAACAGTTGAGTTTAGGGAGAGACTTAGGGACGGGCTGAGGGAGCACTGCAGGTGACCAGGCCATCCTTTAAACCCTGCAGCCCTCCTTTAGACCCTGCAGCCATCCTTTAAACCCTGCAGCCCTCCTTTAGACCCTGCAGCCATCCTTTAAACCCTGCAGCCCTCCTTTAGACCCTGCAGCCATCCTTTACACCCTGCAGCCCTCCCTCACACCCTGCAGCCATCCTTTACACCCTGCAGCCATCCTTTACACCCTGCAACAATCCTTTACACCCTGCAGCCATCCTTTACACCCTGCAACAATCCTTTACACCCTGCAGACATCCCTTACACCCTGCAGCCCTCCCTTACACCCTGCAACAATCCTTTACACCCTGCAGACATCCCTTACACCCTGCAACAATCCTTTACACCCTGCAGACATCCCTTACACCCTGCAACAATCCTTTACACCCTGCAGACATCCCTTACACCCTGACGCCTCCCTTACACCCTGCAGCCATCCCTTACACCCTGCAGACATCCTTTAGACCCTGCAGCCCTCCCTTACACCCTGCAGCCACCCTTTACCCCCTGAGCTCTCTCCCTGCAGTCCAGGAGCTGCCTCCTGCACAGTACCTCATCCTCAGCACTGCACGGGCTTTCACCATTCCTCCTCCTGATTCCAATCTTCCTGTGCAGGTTTGCTCGGATTAACCCATCCTGGGGAAAAGAGCCAAAAGAGGGGCCAGTGATTAAATCCAGCAGTCCATAATCATCAGTTTCTACCCAGATTCACCACGGCAGTATCAGAACACCCTCATATTTGTCCCATTTCTCCTCTTCACAATGGGCTATATCCATCTCACCAAGACCATCTACCTGCTGCCAGCTGCAGATTCATTTGACATTTAAGGATCAAAATTCCCCAAACATTTGCTTTTKATAAATCTTAACCCAGACAGCCCAAGAGATTTTCCTGCCCCACCGCTGGTTTTCTCTTACCAAAGGTGAACAGGCCGATGATCCCATTGGTATCTTTATTTGATAAAAGGCACCCCTATAATGCTCCAGTCTGTGTCTCTCCCAGCTGGTAGGTGCTCCTGGACCACAGTATTTTCCAAGCAGCTGTGGCTGGGAAGAAGAGTTGTATGGATTGACTCATGGCTCCACCTCCCACAGATTTCAAAAGCACAAATGATGCACYTGCTCTGTGCCACACAAAGAGCTCCCTCTTTTTGCTGCTCTTTTTTAACACCAAGGTGATTTAAGGGRAAAAAAGGAGATGGATCACACATTTTATCATAGGCTAATCCAGGAACAGTCATTATCCACCACTGTAAGGTTCAAATAACCACACACAGAGGGATGTCTTGGGGCAATTCCAGCCCCCGCCAGCTTCTCCAGTCAGATGCACCACTGCAAGGATTTTCACCAAGTTCACTATAAATTACAGTTACAAAGTGATGGCTGGCTCTCACAGGCAATGGCAAATAGTTAAAAAAAACCAGCTTTTAGTTTTTCTTGTCTCTTATTTCCATTACACACAGGTGCCAGCGGGTGCTTCTGGTATTGAAACTTTTTTAGCTAAAGTGCCACTTTCAATTAAATTATGTTAGGATCTCATGAGATTTAACAAAAATAACTACGTACAATTTTTTCCAAGGTCTTTAAACATGACTGTTAAAAATGTCAAGTCTGATTTCTTTTTAATTTTAGAATAATTTCCCATTGTTTTTCTGTAACAGCACTCAAGACATAAAAAGAAAAGGACCTAGTACTAGTACTAAAACACAAAATAGCACAGAAGCCAGCCATTACATTAAACATTATTTAAATCACAAAAAGTAGGTGTTAGTCAATAGTGAGAAGGTRCAGTTGAAATAAGTTTTTTTTAAACTCTTTATGTTTTAGAATTTCAAATTTCAGAGTCAGACTGAAAATCCTTTTTAAAAGCAGCAGGACTTAGGAAAAAATTAAAATCTGATTTCTCAACCATTTCTAATGTATTTGAGTATTCAAACTGTCTTGTGGTGATGAGCTAACTCAGATTAAGAGAATTACCTTAGATAAAATTTAAAAATATGATTATAATAAGTCTTGTCTTTCATAGATTCAGGCATTGAATACATGAATGTTTCTGTTTTAGGCTGTACTGCCACTTAAGCAAAAAATACTTKATGAATTCCCACCTAAAGTTTTCATGTTGGGTTGTTTTGTTTTATTGTTATTACAATTCAGAACTATTTCACTTTGTTTATATAATAACATTTTTGAAGTAAACTCCAATTTGCAACAAGAGCTTGARCTCCCAGGGTTACAGGAGGCTGAACACAATAGCCATTCCATCASTCAGGCTCTGAAGTCATTTTATGTCTCAGTTCAATGACAGTGGATTTTTACCAGCTCTTGAGGGGCAAAAGTTCAGGGACATCCAGTTGGATWATATGCCATGCTCCCTAATTAACTGGCACCCTTTCCACAGTGTCCACATTTGGGTGTTTTGTAGATTCCATAAGTTAAATTAMGCAACATCACACTGCCCCTGCTTACTCTGCACATAATGAGGAAAAAAGTATCCAGCTAAACAATTCTCTCTCCCAAAAGCAGATGTAATYCAGCAATAACAGCAAATGACTTGATAACTCAAACTGTGCATCACAACCATGATGCAGGTGAGTCACAGTCAGGAAGCCACAGGCCAGCAGACAAGGTCATATTTCACCACAACCATCGTGACAACAGCAGCCCACAGCAGCATGGGATCTGTCTGGAGCCACAGAAGCACTTGAACTGGGTCCCATCACCTGCAGCAGGGAGCCTGGGGTGGCAGAGGAGCACAGAGCTCACAGCAAAACCAGCAGCAGCTCTTCATCCTCTGCAGAGGCAGCTGGAGGTGCCCATTTGCCACCCAGATCAGTTCTGACATGGGCTCARAATCACTTTCCTCTCACAGAAAGTAGAGAGTGATTTTCAGTAATTYTCCCAAATTCTCACAGGTTTCTACAGCTATTTCACATCAAATATTTAATAGCTAATACAAACCTAAGGGAAAAAAGCCTTCAAAAGGCTTTTGGGTGCTGATGAAATGTACAGCACCAGCAAGGCAAAGTTTTCTTCTGGTGCTGTCAGCTGAGCAGGGAGCAAGCCCAGCTGCCAGGAAAGCAGAGCCTCACTAGCAGAGGGTCAGAAGGTTGGTTTGKGCTCATCTTCTTTGTGCAAGGAAATTGGGAGAGTTCAGCCCTCCAGAYATGAGGAGCCATGAACATCTGTCTCCATCACCATCCCTTTACCCCACTCAGAGTAACTCCTCAGAGTAAAAAACAGGCTTTGACCAATTTAAATTCTACCACAGTRGAATGGAGGCCATAAAAATGGTACTGAAAGAGAAGATTCTGAYATTCAGCTCAACTCCAGTAGTTCTACAATTCTACCTTGCAAAAACGCAAAAGCCATGGAGAATTTCCAAAATACCACAGAATTTTTCCCACGATTCCATGAAGCAGCAAGTGTTTTATATTCATGAGTTCCTATGGGATTGTAACCTGTAATTTATTACTTTTCCATGTAATTTATTACTTTTCCATGTAATTTATTACTTTTCCACGTAATTTATAGAGTGATGCATTAAACTAATGAGCTCATCCAATTACAGAAGTGTGTTTTCTCATTTGCTAAAGGATTACCACAACTCAGCCCCACATCAACCAGAGTTTGCTTAATGAAGTCACAGTGTAACATTTTATTAATTTTACTCTTCTCTTAAATAATTCTTGGGAACATGCAAACCTCTACCTCTTTGATCCCCAAATACCATAACTTTACAGAACTGAGAGAGACTACAGACTGTCAGAGGAGGAGCACCTGGATCAGATGCTCTGGACAAGCAGGTGTCTCAAACCTCCAAGCAGAATGCCCAGGGTGGTGTCGAGGGTGAAGCTCAGGGGCAGAGCTCTCCTTGACAGAGTGCCACTGCCACCTGAGGGCTGGCTSTAGGAAAAGGAGAACACAGAAACAACAAGGATTTCCCTGGCCCTCAGAGATCCTAAAGAATTACTTAAATAATTAATGAAGCGATTTCATTGGGCTGAAAAAAAAATATAATCAGTGGGTTTACAGGTATTTAGTGCAAACACCATGGTGTTCTTCTTGTGTGTGGGTGACTATCAGTGAGAGGGGCCCTAATTAAAACCTAGGTTGTCTATCTGGCTGTTTTTACAGGAATKCTAATAATATTTCTTTGATAAAGAAGTCAAATCCTGTTGGGATTTGCCACAGRCTAAAAAACATTAGAGCAGGATACACAATCAGAGGGAACAAGATTTCCTAAGTCTTGATGCCTCAAAAAAAAAGCCTTGGAAAAACAAAGAGAAAAACACATTACAGTCCCTTGGAAATCTATTCATTCAAAATAATCCTAAGTGTTCTCTTAAAGAGAACAGAACCCATGAAAAAGGCTTTTTGGGATACTGGCACAACACAGCTGAGGTTTTTTTTACCTGAAAGTCAGGGACAATAGTACAATGCAAGTGTCAGCACAGCTTTCTGTTAAGTTCATTAAGCATATGTACTTTTGTGCTGCTTATAATAAAGCAGGATCAATAAATATTTCTGATTTCCTATGCTGTTTGTACATATTTCCAGAAACAGAGCAATTTAGGAAAGAAAAAGTGGTTATTAATTCTAYTGACAGCCCAATACACTTTCACCACAGCATTTCCATGTCTTTGCAGCACCATGGGAAATACCTCAAAAATTGCAGGGTTTGGTAAAGATTGCAYCTTTTAAAGGAAAACTGAACTTCCCAGTGCTTCTGCTAAATRTAAGTACTGATTCAACAGGACACAAAAACCCAAAGCAGTCCTKTCATTGAAAGAACACACCCTTGAATTAAACATGTCTAGGAAAGTAAAACACAATTATGCTTCTACTTTAATTACATTTCAATCAGCAGCCAATACCTGGTTCTCTGACAGTTAAGAGAGGGGAGGGATATTGCCCTCAATGCCTGAACAAGTAATAAATACCCCACGAGACCCAGATAGAAAAGAGCAAAAAWAGGAGAAAACTTGAAACAGCTGGAGCAGACTTCCATTTCCTGATGAATAATGTAAACTCCACGGGGCCATCCACATGTAACTCCAAGTATCATAGAATGGCTTGGGTTTAACCAGAATACATGTTTTTCTGATTTTTTTCACCCTCATTTTTTTCTGACATTAATGCTGTTGACAAATTATAAACTAACCTCTGGTGCAATATTTTCCTTAAAGCATCATATGCATCATTATGCAAGTTCCAGTAATGGTTCCACAGTAAATCCCAAGGTGAAATTTGCAGATAAAACATGCTTAAACTTGCCAGGTCTCACAATGGACTAATGAATGCACCTCTCCAGGTGCCATTTTCCAGCACACCTCATTACAAAACAGGGGCCAACTTCTGCAAGCAAAGCATTCCCGAAACACCAGAAAAATACAGTCCCATCCACTCTGATCCTTGCCAAGCTTCCCAGTTCCAGCTCTGCTTTTCAACTGCCACAATTTTGTAAACAGGAAAAAAACAAAAACACACACAAACACAAAGAAAGAGCAAAAATACAAACAAAAAACTACAAACACAGCCTTAAAAAAAAAATAAAGGTGAGTTGGGAAATAATCTTGACAACAGGGAACCTCCATTGCTTTACCACATTGTCATTGTGGTGGAATGCTAAAGGAAAAATACCCCCATACCCTACATTTAAATCATGGATGTGCCTGCAGTGAGTCTGCTAATTCTGACTGGGGCATAGCACTGCTACAGACGTGCAGAGGTTACACTACAGTTTAGATTTAAAGAAGTTTAGCCATTTCCCAATAAGAACCTTTAGCACAGGAGGTGGAAAAGGATGTATTGCAAAGGTACAGAGCCTGSTTAACTTCACAGCAGTACTGCAAAAACCTGCTCTAATTCCTACTTRTTACAAAGCAGAAGGAAATGCTTGTGATGGTCAAATTGGGCAGGGACAATAACCATAATTACACTTTTATAGAGACATTTTTCCCCCACTGGGGTTACGTAATGGTTTGTTTGATCTGTAGCTGAAGGTCTCATGTAAAATTTAATTACCCATGATACTGCAGGATTACTTTTTTAATAGAAAATAATTTGGATTTTTGTCCTTAATTTTCTGAGCAGCATTTTTTTACCACACCTAGTTAATCAAGCTTTGCAGCTCTTTGTTTACCCCTAAGGTAAGCTCAGCCTGATATTTACATCAACACCCTTGGTTGAAAGCATGTAAGGCATGAATCACAGTCTCTCTGGAATCTCAACACAATTTCTGGTTTGTGGGACATTATACAACTCTTGGCTGACTTAACTGTGGTGGTCAGCAACGCAATAACCAGTTCAGAAAACAAACAAAAAACAACAACAACCATRAAATCCACCACCTGGATGCACTGTTGAGCTTAATTGCAACCATGGATTAAAAAAGTGCAATAGCCRAAATCATCGGCTTGATTACAAACTGACAAAACTACAGAAGGGAAGATGGGATACATGATAAATAATTAATAATTCATGTCTTATCTATATAGACACATTTAAATAGAAACATTAATACTTTATAAAGCTTATCATTTGTTACAGGAGGTGTTCCCATATGTCTCCTGTATTAATAACTCCAACTCAACCTGACCTGTTTTGCCCTGAAATTGAGAAGTCCTTCTGTTAGATCCATTTACAGGAAATAAGCTGAATACCTTTTTATAGCAGGTCTGCTAAACACAGCAGCCCACTCTAGCTCAAGGCCTTGCCTCATGATATTTCAAGAYTGTTAATGCAGCATGTGATGCCTTGTTGAGGAGTGGATGGAGAGCCACTGCAGGGTCATGTAAAAGGACACTGCTCTCTCTAATGGATTTGAAAAAAGTGATGGGTATGAAAAAGCACCCAGGTATGTGTGTCAGTGCACAGACTGTACTCCAGCTCAGGCAGAAGGTTTTGTTCTAAGAAGGAAACAGTACAGGCTCCCTTTGCTTATGTGGAGCCTGGGGAGATAACAGCATTTCTCTCCTTAGAGATAACAGCATTTCTCTTCTTAGAGATAACAGCACAACAGGTTGTTGAGCTCTGAACACAAAGATGTGAAACAGAAGAGAACACTTCTAAATAATGCTGACATACCTTTGTATAAATCATTTGTTCTATCAATTCATCAGTTTCTACTTTAGATGTCCACCAATAAGTTAGCCTAGCCATTGCCAAGTTTTTCATAGATTTCACAAAACTCTGAAACATTCTTTTCACATTCAGCCTAAGTTTATTCCTTAATATATTTGTTCTCACACCAGCATATTTTCCCATACATTATCCTTCATCCATGGATCTGCTATGAGTTACTTTTCCTCAAACACGGGTGAACAACCAACRTAAAATTCCATCAGAGCTTTGTTTAACAGTATTAGTTATTCCCCTTTTTCCATTGGAAACGTTTCAACCTCCAGCACCTYTAGATCTCATTACCTTTTCCAAGTCCAAGTCATATCAATATCCAGTTCTGATTAAACACTGCTTCCTCTATTTGTTTTTATTCCTTCTGGTGTTGATCAAAGYACCTCAACCGGCAACTGAATTCAAACATGGGATTGAAAGTCTACCCGCTGTAATATTTGCCACATCAAAAGCAATAGTGTTAGCAATACTTCTGTCCCAGTTTAAGATTTTTAGGTGTGGCTCCAGACACATTTTTCATCCACTGGAGTTGATAAACTGTAAAGATTTTACACAGTGCCATRAAGCAACAAAGTCCAACATAATAACATTGCTTGGCTATGAATAAATTCCTCGGAGAAACAGAAACATTTCTTCAACAATCCTATTCCAAAGTACATCACCCTTGAGAAAACACCCCAACCTTTCCATGCTCCCCCATTTTCCTATGCAATGCTTTTCCTAGGACACTGAGATTTTTACTAAGGCCTCTGCTTCACAGAGCTGCCTTAAACACACTCAGCAGCAGGCCACCTCTGTTTGCCCTCTCTGCTACCCCATCTCAAGATTCTGCTCCCTCTTCTGCCCTGGATTTCCTGTTTATCCCATGCTTCCCTGAGCAACCTCACAAAGAAGCATGCCTTTTACCTTCACAGCGTGATGTTTGCCTTTTAATTTCTTTCATCTTGGAATCACTGCATGTACAGTAAGACCTATGTTAGGGAAGGTGCTGTCAGAAGATCTGCTCACAGCAGTCTGCCYTTGACACTGAAAGGGCAGACAAAGAAGCAGATCATTTTATATGAAGACACTGTTTTCTTAGTAGAGTATGATACCCCATTAGACATTTTATGTTATTTCCTCACTCATTCATTCAGTCTTCAAAAATCCACAACAAAATTCGTTATAAAAATCCTCCAAAGCATTTTCTTTCAAAAATGCAGGAATTGTTTCCTTATACAATAGCACCAACAACAGGTGAGCTTACTTGCAAAATCTTAGTTGCTAAGCACTTAGCTGAAAAGCAGCTTCAGCTAGAGAAGCTTATCAGCTACTWAGAACATGGTTATCATCTGTGGAGGGAAAAAAACCCATATTATTGTGAATACAAAATGATCCTTGACCCTGACAATATAATAACTCCACAAAAGGAAGGCTACTTTACCAGTTGATGTGAGTAGGTGGTTTTGCAGCTGCAGGCAGTGTTCTCTTTTTCTAGGGTAATCATAGYTGATCAGATCAGAGGCTGAAATACCWGGTTAAKKCACTTAGTCCAACTTAAAACCAWGAAGTTTTTATWAACASTTTTTWAAATAATTCTGYKGTAGGGGCAATTAAAGCAAGGATTKTRATTCAAGCATGAATCAATTGRATTCACSAGCACAACGTCCAGCTCTTACTGAGATAACAAAAACCACTGCTCTTGACGCTGAAAACTTTGTCACTTTCAATTTCTCAGTTGAAATGGGTTTTCCGCCTTTTTAAGATTCTTTAGGAAGTTACTGGTGTTATCTTGCTCACCCTCCCCTTGATTTGATGGTCTCTAGCAAAGCACAACTATGAGGTTTTCTTTCTTRACTCAGGCCAATTCTCACACTCAAGCCATCGACCTGATCGTCTCTGACAAAAGTACTTCAGAAAAAATGGGAAGAGCATGTGAGCAAAACTAACATTTATTAAAATAGAAACACATAAAAAATGTATTAAGAATCATACCCATCTATAAGCCCTTACATCAGTTAGGCTTCAGTTTTAAACACAGAACTGGTACATTCAGCCCAATGTAAAAGCCATAAAAGTGAACAGTGGTTTTTTGCCACTGTTCTGCATTACGTATTTTCCAACTGCATAATTCAGTACTTTTTTCTGGGCTTTTTGCAAAGTGAGRTGAATTCCATCCCACAGCACAGCAGCATCTGACATTATTTTATTCATTCACATTYATAAGGTGTGCCTACCTTGACTTTTGACATTTCTAAAATACATAGACACACAAATTCCTTCAACAAAGGTCTGAGTGAATTACAAACTGGAGTGTAAGGGAAAAAATATCTAATTCAAACCCTTCAAATGAGCCTTCCCTCCTCTTACACAGAAAGAGAAAGATGAGACAGCATTTTCAGCACAGTTTCATCATCTCATGATGATCAGACTGTAGGAAGAAGCAAAACAATCCCACAATATGCTTTTATCGTTAAATATAAAAAGAGAACATTTATTTCCTCAAAACCAATTTTTTTACCAAAATAAGGTACTCAATATTGAATTTCTGGGTGACTAAAAGTCATTAAAATCTTTGAGAAGAGGAGGATGTAAAAGTCACAAAGATCTTTGAAAGCATGAATGGCAAAAATGGAAAGCTGGTAATGACCGTTCAGTCTTGAAAGGAAATGGGCATCAGCCAGTAGCAAGTTGAAAGCAAAAGGAGATATTTCCTCTCTCAGTGTGCAGTTTTTATCTGTGGAGTTCTTTACAAGATGATGTAAATTGTAAAAGTTCATGAAGGGAGGTTCAAAAGCAAGAGAGAAAAGTACAGAGGGAATTTGTTTCCCCAAACACCCAGCACCTTTGACATAAAGAGGTGCATTACTCAGTGCAGTCTGGAACATTATTCTCCAAATGCTTGGACAGTTTGAATAGAGCTCCCAAATCATCTGGAATCAGCCACTGTGATTTGAGATCCTGAGYTGGGTAATTCCTTCCTCTTCCCCACACAAGGAAGCAAAGTCCATGTTGTACTGTACATCCCTTGAGTTTGCATCAGAGAACAAAATTGGAATGAGTTTCCAGTGCCAGGAGTGCCAATCCCTGCCCAATATGAGGGTTTCCAGCTCTTCACTTTCAGTATTCTGTCTTGAGCCTCATGGCTTTTGTACACTGCAGCCTCTCTGTATCCTCACACTTGGAAGTTGCTCATGTGTTGGACTTATTGATGACTTTCTTCAACCTCCTCCTTTGCAGAGCCAAGTTCAGGGTTTTGAGAAGAGCGTCCTTGTTGTTTAAAACATTGTAGCGATTCACTTTCACTAACCTGCTGAAATCATGTGGCTCAAATGTGAAATTTAGCGTACGGTAAGGGGAATCTTTTGACTCAATAACAAAGTCACCAAAGGATTTCTCTTCTTCTGACTTACGCTCAACTCCTGCAGGAAGAAAGAAAAAAAAATAATCACAAAAACCCCTCCACTGTGSTAGACCCATTTTAGTTGAATTCTGGTAGGAGGTATCACAGATAGTTCTGTTGAACCTCAACCTTTTCCTCAACGCTCTTCCTCAGAGATTTCAGTTCTTTCCAAAATATTGGGAAGCTGAAGTATTATTACCCTTTCTATTTCTATTAAGCTCCAAAATAAAGTATTAAAATACATTTTYATTRTGATAAATTGCYRAGTTCATCTGTGATTATTATGCTCAAAAGAGGGAATATAAAGCTCAATTCCTCCTGGAAGTGCTGCTCTGCACTAAAATGAAAGACACACYTTGAGTTCAACTGGCCCTAGGAGCACCTTGCCACTTAAATTTGAATACCAATCTTGAAAGATGAACACTAAAGAAGTTTACTACAAACACTTTTGCTTGTTGCTGCTATAGAAATACCAGTCTTGAGCCATAATCAAGCCTATCACATTGAAACTCTTCATTATCAATGAGGAAACRCAGCCATGACCTGGCAATCATTATAGCATTGACACAGAAAACATTAACAGCGTGCTTCACATCCCCCTGCACCAGTCCTCCATGTTCTTTTCYACATATTCCAAAGGTTTCATTCAGGATGCCGTTTCCTCCCCACATGGGAGAAAAAGGACATTGATTTTTGCCTGTCTCTTCTTAAAGGTCCCAGTGTTCCTGCCTGATGGACTGAGGGGCCCTTCAAGTCTGTTTAAATCACCTTAAATGAAGCAAGGATTATGTATCACTTGATCTCACACTACAAGGGCACAGGCCACTTAACACCTAACACTGAGTTACACAATCTCACACACRGATTGGTCCCAACACTTTGCTGCTTGGGAATAAATAAACAAATCAACTTCCTATTTAATCTGATTAATAGTCCTTTCCTGTATATGAAGCACAAATAGGAGTAATAGAATCTGGTATCAGGGCAAAAAGGTTCAGAAAGAACCAAAATTTAGCCTAATTTTGATTCTTTCAGCCTTTGGATTTTATTTCTTTTTGTGCACCTCTTCTCTCATCCTGGTCTTCAAAAAACTGGTTCTGCCTTAAATGTAAGTATCATTCAATAATCACTGAGTAATATTAAGAAGAATGAAAAGAGGAACACAAATCTCCATCAGCACACTGAAAGGATTCTCAGAAGAGCTCTTTAAGATGCAGATTGCTTACCTGGTGCTTTGTATTTCTGGAAGGTGTCATTCACCAGYGGGAAATGGAGTACAATTGGAGCCTTTGGATTATTATCATCCACAAACATGTAACACTCTTTTGGGTTCTTTTCATCTTCCTTGCTAAATTTGATTTTTGGAAAAGGAATTTCCCTCTCCTCACAGTATTTCTGAGTCAGTTCTAAAACCTATTATCAAAAAATAAAAATAATTTCAATACAGTAGAAACAATACCTTTTAGATCATCTAACTACAAYCCACAAAAGAAAATAACTTGTTTTTATGAAGAAAACCACCAATAGCCATTTTTCCTTTAGGAGCATATATCCAAGTAACAATTATCTTATATGCCAAAAAAAAAGTCTCATTTTACCTAACAACCTATTTAGGCTTCTGAAAAATTTTGAATCTTCTTACAGTGGTCAACTTTATATTTACTCATGACCTTCACAGGAAAAAGCACAGCACAGTAACTTTTCATATGAAGACCAAGCAAGAGAGGCTCAGCCTGGAGAAGAGAAGGCACTGGGGAGACCTGAGAACACCTTCCAGTGCTAAAGGAGGCTTATGAGAGCTGGAGAGGGATTTTTCACAAGGGCATGTAGTGACAGTTCAGGGGGAAATGGCCTTAAGCTGAAGGAGGGYAGGTTYAGAGTGGGTATTTGGAGGAAATGCTTCAYTGTGAGGGTGGAGAGGCACTGGCACAGGCTGCCCAGAGAAGTTTGGACTCCACATCCCTGGCAGTGTTCAAGGCCASGCTGGATGGGGCTCTGAGYAAACTGGGCTAGTGGAAAGTGTCCCTGCCCATGGCAGGAGGGCAGGAGAGATGATCCCTGATGTCTCTCCCAGCCCAAAATCTTCTATGATTTCATGGAAGACGKAAGGATTTATTTTAATTCCTTTGTCCATCAGTGTTCGTATTCAACACCAACTGACCTGCTGTTATTGCAAATATGATTTTGTGCCTTCATGCTCATGTAATAATGCTCAGCTGCTTCTCTCACCTCAAATGGAGCTTCCCAGGAAAAATTGAACGACAAGATAACATCCACATCCCTCTCWGGCTCAAGTACCAGGGGAAAGGGAGAGTTGATAGAAAAGCCACCATCCACTAAATACAAGCTGTCATCCATGGGTGTCAGCTGGTTGGGAAACGCATCCAGGTGGGTACCTGAAAGACACCCCAAGTAACACAAGTAACTACATTGATTCTTTACACACCTGTTGGCAGAAGAAATAAACAAAGCTGATATTAGTGTCATAAAAAGAAAAAAGGCATTCCAACRTGCACCTTCATCAGAGATTGACTTGTGAAGTCTGATGATTAGATACAGCAGAATAAATGTAGGGGATCAAATGTTTTGCTGTGGTGTAAGAAGAGGGATATTCCCTGGAATAAAATCAAATATTAGCACCTTATATAATATCCCACATACATACAGACTCATTTACCTCTCCAAGCGACGAATTTCTTGAYGTTAACATAATCTTTATGAAGATACAATCCCTTCATGAAGTTGAAGGTTTCTCCACATGTGACCCGGGACTTGAAGAAATCCTGGAAAATTTGTAACAAGGGGCCCCCAGGTGTGACCAAGCGAGTCTTCAGTCGTGCTGGGTCTCGGAAATGGAAYCTTCGGCAGTCGTCTGCAGAAGTCACAGAAGGATGCAAAACATACACAAAATGCCAGTTCCAACATTTTAATCTGACCTTTCTCTACAATATTTAACCAGTTTTCCTAAGGCTGAATTTGCCCACTAATAAGGGTATTGTAATGAATTTTGAATGAGTTGCATATTCCATAGGTGGATGATATTTGGCCCGTTTAACGGGAAGAGYGTTACTCATGAAGCAATGCCCATATTAATTTCAAACCCACACAAAGAAACTCTTGTAACCAAGGGACAAGCACTTCTGTCACATAAGACAGCATCAGTCAACCACACATAGTAGCATTTATTACACAAAAAGAGTGGTGTGTGGTGGGGGAACAAGGCTGGAAAGGCAGAGGGAAAAAAAACCTCTCTTCTTCCACCAGTTACACTAAAGCCTTAACCACGTACATGAACAAGCCCCAGCCTCTAAAATATTTCCTTTTCACTGCAATGAACAAATGGATGCATAAACATAAACAATATTACCAAAAGCAGACCATGGGGGAAACTGGAAGCCTATTTTAAAACCTCCTGYTTAGCAATCCAGCTTCTACCCTTCCCCTTCTCATGATTACGACTCCTGCACTTTAATACGTGTTTAAGACAGCTCCCCAAACCAGCTGAAATTTATAGTCAAAGTCAGATACAAGTTTTTTTTAAAATAAGGAAGAGGAAGTGTACTAAAGAAACATAATATCTCTCCTCACTGTAAGTGTGATCAAAGGGAATAGCATATGATATAAGAGAGATCTGTCCCAATCCACCCTTTATGCAAATCTTGAAAAGTACATACAGCACATTTTTGCATCATATTATTTATGATCCTTACAAAATTAGCAATCTTTTGAAAAATCCAACTATTTTCATTGGTGTTCTTACCTACAACTTCGATAACATCTTTGAAAGAATCCAGAAAGCTCAGTCCTATACCAACCACCTTCAGGCAGATATCATCCAAGCTTGCAGCAAAGGCACTGCCCCACATTCCTGCAGGAGAAATGTGGAAGAATTTGACACTCAAAAGGTTTTTCATGGTGTAACCAAAGGCCATTTTTCATGGGAGAGGGCTGTCATTTTACCCCTAYTATTCTAACAAGTGATGTTTGAATTAAAACCTTGGAGTCAATCACATGAAAAATTATGATGTTAAAATATAATGCAGAATTTTTTCCAAGAGAAAAGCATAGAAAAGACAGCAAGAGAAGAGGAAGACAGGAGACACTTTGACAGGCAGCTGTAATGGAGTCACCTTGCAGACTCAGGACAGCAGACTGTAACACTGCAAACCAACACCTAAAACTCTGGAGAAAAGTTTGACATATTTCACTTCTTCAAGTCTTTTTGGAAGGGAAAAAGGCATAGACTTAGGTTCATAGGTCCCAAAAGCAGCAAAGTTCCTTTTCATCTCCTTAAATGATGATTTAAACATTATCATAAGATCATACCTTGTAGAAAACAAATCCTGGGCTCTGGATGTTTCTGGACAAGCCGTCCCATGAAGAACTCACTGTCAAAATCCTCTGTTCGAACAAAAGCTCCATATTTGCGAAATCCAACTTCATAGGGAGTGAACTCACACCATTCTAAGAACAAGCCAACAGGATATTTACTCATCTCAGAGTAAACAGGAGTGAAAACATTTTTCTGTTCACACAAGGGAGACAGAAGGGACTCTCCTTCCACTTGTCACATCCCCTGGAATTCCCTGCCCCTCTTCTCTAGCCTCTGTCTACATATAAGTAACAAAAACTCTTGGGAAAGCTTTCATTCCATCTTGCTCCACCTTGACTTTTTTACTCTGGAAATAACCTGCCTGTTTTATTTTTACTTTAAACCATTTTGATTTCTCCCTTTTCCATCCAAAGTGGAAGATACTTCATTTTTCTCAGTGTTTCTTTGCACTACACACCATCTCCCAGAAACTACTGCAGAACTGACTTGAAAACTTAATTGACTCACGGTGTCAGATTTCATTGTCTTCTTATCAAAGTGTCCCCTTGTGCTTGAAAGATTTTCACAAAGAGTTGAAAGATCCCCAGAAGGATCATGTAGTCCAACTCCTGGCCCTGCACAGATTATCCTAAAACCACAGCATGTGTCTGCAAGCGTTATATCCAAATGCTTCTYGAACTTTACACACACACTGCTCCAGAATAAAACAAACAAACAATCCCATAGCAGTACACAGATGGACAGAAGCATTTGTGTTCCTGTCTCACTCATCTATCCCCACCTGTTGCAGMGTTTTTAAAGTTTCAATGAAGGACTGGCCTTCATATTTTTACTGTAAGACCTCAGGCTACTAAAACCTACAATTTTCATGACACACACTACAAGGTGGCCAATCCATTAGTTWACATGAATCTTACACAAATTTTATGTCTGAGACTACAGAAGAAAGCAKTCACCTAACTACCAAGGACTCCAATTCTCTGACTCAGACACAGACACATGTATTATAAGAATCTTCTCAGCTCCTAAAAATTTCAGGCAGTTTCTAGAAGACATGTGGAGTGGCCAACAGTGCTGAATCTMATTTCTCCATTTTAGCCACAATGAAGGCATTTGCTATCAGAATGACAACACTGTCAATCAGTATCCTATTGCCTCCCACACTGCCAATTGCTGCTTGAGCCATATTTCCTGTTATCAGCTGCTCACTATCCAAGGAACWGGACAGATGAAAGGAAGTCAGGGATTTCAGCAAACAAAAATAAATKTCCATGTTCATACCTGCAAAGTCACCACTGCTCATATTGGGTCTCACATTGACAGCTGCATAGATRGGATAAGGGTTTTGGGCCCATTTCACTGCTTCTTGCTGATCAGACAGCTTGGATGGATCTTCCTGGTCACAAGCAAGGAAGGAGGAGAGCACTTCAGTCAGGCAAAGTTCCGTACCCATACTTCAAATACTTGGCATTTCTGATTAAAGTACTACTAATTCAAAGCCCAGTTTCCTTCCACTGTCCAAGCACATCCTTAGATTTGGACAAAATATTTTTTCAGCTGCATATTATAAATAACATTAGACATTCTAAAACTAGTTATCCCTCTGATTTTCAATCTCACTTACATAGAAAATRCTTCACAGCAACTCCTTTCTGCAAAACCAACATCATTCTCCTGCCCAGTACAAAAACTATTTATTTAATAACAGTCATTCCAAATAAACACAGCATTTTTCCATAACACTGATCCATATGATTTAAAAGCACTTTATTACAGAAGATACTATGTTTATTCCACAGCAACACCTATATCAAAACAGCTCACAAAGGTGGAGGGTCATTGGTTTCTTGACTGTAAACACATGGATGGGTAGAGTTCCCACTTGAAAGACAAACAGCAGTAAACATCCAAACATGAACTCTTTTACCTTCTGTTGTAGGAAGTATTCCACAATAAGGCCCCACAAATCCGTAAAGGAAACYTTCCGTCCACTGATCTCCATCGCATTCAGCTCCTGGAAATAGTACTTGAGGCGTTCTGGGGAAAATGCCCCTGCTTTGCTGCTGGACACAGCATCCTGAGCTCTTCTGATGGCATCTTGAAGGTCTTTCTGTGACCAGGCAGGGTCTTGGTACAGTGTCGATAAACACCTGAAAATGCTTTTATTAGTGTCATTGGTAATGAAGACCCTCATGGTTATATTGAGTGCTGCAGAACTGGAGAAGTCTGGCTAATCAAAGAGTAAAGAATCCATAAACATGGGATCTCTGAACTCTAAAATGTGCTGGAAACCCTGACACCTACAGGACATCTTTATCCTGATTGCTAACCTGCCTTCCAAGGATATTCYAAGCACCACATGCTAGCACCATGATGCAGTCCCTAAACATATGCTAACATTTGATAGAACGGAACAGAACAGCCACGATGGGCTGGCTGGCAGCAAGGGGCAGGATGCAGCAACAGAAGCCAAAGCCTTCACCAGAACACCGGTCTGRTGAAAGGAGAAGGTAGTTTGGACCTTTGACTACCCAGACAGATGCCTACATTTGTGCAGAAGTGTTTCTGAATCAAAAAAAGGCCAGAGAAATAGGTACAGAGGAGKCAATTCAACACACAAAGCTTTGGAAGGAAGGATTATACTGTCAGGTTGCACAACTCCTCTATGAAATCCTTTCACAAAARCAAGGGATGACTTCATCATAAACTCCAAGAACTGAGCAACTGAAACATTCTAGCCAYATCTAATACTTCAGCACATTGCTCCAGTCCACCAAAGGGCAAGACAGTGCCACGCCTCTCTTTAGCCACGTATGCCATTTTGGAAAGTGATGCCACAGTGGCCTGCATGGACATGTTTCCAGTGACTTGCACCACCTCAGTTATCTTCTTGGCAAGAGCTGGGGAATGAGGAAGGTTTTTAAGCCAGTGTAACACACAGCAGTTTTATCCATGTAATGTGTTCTAATATTCTGTTGTCAGACTTGCTCAAGCAGAAGATTCATAAATTTAGCAGTGGCTGCGTGGGTTGGACATGATCCTCAATCTCTTGGACTTTTCAGGATCCCCATCAGAACTCACAGGTGAAAACTGGTAAAATACWTGGCTTGCAGTCTGCCTACAGACAGCACAAATGTCATTTTGCATCCACGCTACCATCTTCACTTGTAAATTTCTGTAATCAGCAGTGCATGTTGCTTACCAAGTGGAGCCCGAGATCCCACAGAGATACATGGCAGCATCCAGAAGGCCCAGCTGCTGCAGCCCAGCCAGGCTGCCATAGAACGATGTCAGTGCTCTCATCCCACCTCCAGACCCCAAAACAGCCACGACTGGAACCTGCAGACAGCAAACTCAGGGGTCACAATCACAGARTTCTGATTGCCAATAAATTACAGAATTAATCCCGTCTCAATCTCATTTGAATGAAAAATACAGATAAAAACCTCTATTTCTATTTACACTCTAAGTARTTTCAGGTTTGATTTCAAGCAGAAMTTTTCTYTGTTTTGTAATTGAAATACACTTTTTACTATAAATCATAGCAGGGTCGTGTTAGGGACAGTCACTCACTGAAATTATTATGTATATTATCACACATTTACTTTCTTACAATAGACATATAAGAGGCAATTATTCTTATAACAGTAGCAAGGTATCTTGCTATGAGCAAATACCAGTGAGCAAGGTATCAGGCTATGTAGATGTAAGCATTCTCAAATAAGCAATTAAGAATCTATTTCTGTAGTGTGAGTTTCATTTTAACCATTCTGAAACAGACTTCCCCTTCACAATTCCACGCCCAAAGCCCAAGATACAAGAGTTCAACTAAAGAAAGTATGTACGTTCTGAAATTTCAATGTTTTGTGTTCCAAAACACACATGCCCCTCTCAAAATTTGAGAAATATAACAACATTTGAGATTTCAGAATGGAAACATGCCAGGGATCTATCTCACACCATGGTGAAAGTAAACCATGTTTTCAGTTGGTTGCAGGCAAAGAATCTTACACTGCCCAATTATCAACCAAGCATAAAGGATTTTAGCAATGTCACCACAGCACTGTGCTCAGTACCTCATCTTTWGGAGGGGATTCTTTTAACTGAAGAGCCTTCCTCAGTGCCTCAGAAACCACTTTCTTCCTTTTGTCCAAAAATTCTCTCTCCTCTTTGCAGAGATCAAAACCCAGTCGTATATCAAGATCCCAAGTGCTGAAATAGAAGACAAAACCCCACAACATTTTAGAGGATTTGTTATTAACATGGAAAATATTGTGAAAATGTTTTGTGAACACACTGTCTAGGACCTGATCTGAGCTGGATCAAACTCTAAKGTGAAATTTTCATGCATACACCAGCTATTCTGTACCACAGATTATGAAATAAAAAATTAAACTTCTCCATACTGCATTTCTCCTTTAATGTTTAAATTCAAAGCTTCTGTCAAACAGTATTCAGATTTAACTTCAGGAATTTAACAAAGGAAGAAAAATTCCTAGTAGGTGAAGAAGATCATATGAGGAGCAACTGACATCACTGTACCAACATGAACATGAAATGAGGGGAAGGATTTTAAATCAGAAGTTTCTGAACTTAAGAGGCAGAAGGGGGCAACTGAATACCAACTAACTTTCCATGAGTTTGTAAAAGGGGAGCAAGATCTTCAGTTTTTGACTGTGCTTAATTGACCCCATCAACTTACTAGACAACTGCTCTGTTTTCCATTATTCTTTCCTTTTTAGTTCTTYCTTGCACCCTTCATCTATTCATAGTTCAAGCTCTTCACACATGAACATGTCCTTTCCTACCTGCCAGTATCTCACTGCACATATTCTGTGAAATATCTGTGCCTAACCAAACYACTCAATACTTACACCACCAGCTATTTTACACTTAAGTATCAGAAGCACAACATTTGTATTTGTACAGATCTCAGCAGGATTAACACCAGTCCCATAGATAATAACTGCAAAGCGAAGAGTCACAGCCTTCAGAACAAAAACCATCAAAGATATTTTTGTTTAATGTATCCCAAGGGATCARTGGAGAGAACAGACCTCCCCAGAACAGAAAGGAGAGTCATTCAGCTCCTTTACTATGAGAACAAAGCCCTTTGCTGATTTTCAAAGGACTTTGGTGTTCCCACTCACCTCACTTCAGTTTTCAAACTCATATCCAAACTTTTTCCCTGTGGAAAGAGAGAACACATCTTGCAATTGACAGCAATTTCACAGGTGGAGCTACAAAATAAAGGCTATGACAACAGGGTCACCATATACTATCCAAAACCGCACCCTCACCCATAAAATTACATCTCTGGAACACCATCCCTGCACCTAATATACAGATTTTTAATAGTCTCCATGGGAAGCAAAAACATACTCACAGGACAGTGTGAAGGAAATTACTTCTAAAAGTGTCTTGCTTTTTCCCTTCTCTGGTATTTTTCTTTCACACCCTGACTTTTTGCTTTGAAAAAGTGATGAAAWTTATACTTTGTTGTGCAAGACCCARCYGTGAAAGCATTTTTGGAAGAACTGCACTGAGTAATCTCATTACTTCATTCTAAGACATCCAAGAAAACAGCACTCCTGAGAATCACAGGTTGCCCAACCTTCCAAACACCTAAAGGCAATGGAGGGAAAGGTCAGCTCATGCATGTTAAAGCAAGTGCAAAATACTGACATTACCTCTCCCAAAGAAACAATTCTATCAACTTTTTCTCCAATAGGAAGGGAATTAACTGGCACAGTCCCCAGTCCCAGAACTGTAGTATGTTTTTCAATATCAGGGTTCACTCCATCCTGTTAAAAAACAAAATGTTATTTGAGATTCACAGAAAAAGAGTTAAAGGTACRACTTTTATACATCAAAACAACCATACAGCAAACAATTCTTAATAGCACTCTAGCTAAATCTTTCCCAAAAGTCCAAGGCTTTTCAAGAGCATCCTGCTTTCTGTTTGACAGATCTTTGCCAGGGACAGATCTTTTTTTCATTCAAGTAGTTTCTTTGTTGTTGTTCGGGTTGGTTTAGTTTTAGGGTGGGTTTATTTGTTTGTTGTTTTGGGTTTTTTTAATATACCTGTGTGCCACAAGAGAAAGATCTTCAAGTATAAAATTCCCCCTACAAATAGTGGTGTTCTGRCATGTGTCAGAAAACTCACAAGCAAACTTGCATTCTGCTTTCAAAGCAGAATTTGGCAAGGATACCAAAAAGATGAAAAACTTTAGGGATACATAAAAAAAACCACCACAAAATAGAAAAAAAGGAAAAGCCTTAGGGACAAGGGGAAGAATGTAATTAAAAAAAAAAAAAAAACCTAATCAACTTCAAAAGCAGAGCAAATTAAAGTTTGCCAGGAAATGTCTGAGTTTTTTTGCATGCAGCAAAGGGGCAAGCTCTGTTAATACAGAGCTATTCACCCACATCCTTTTTTGTGTCCTCTTCTTCACAGCTGCCTCTAGAGCAGCCRAGGTCACCACTGGCAATCACACTGCCCAACTGCTCATGGGGATAAAAAACATCATGGAATCAAGAGTTTCCTTGCTCTCATTTTTGGAAAAGGAATATTCAGTCACTACAYGGGTACCTGGAGAAACTGCAAAGTAATAGACAAACCTAAATACAAGTTTCTAATAAAAAAGGTTTCTTATAAAATATCTCAAAAGATGAAAGCAAAGATATCTTCATGCAGCAAGCATGCTTTGTGCAGATTTTTTTTAGTCCTTGAGTTTGAACAGATGTCAAATTTTTGGGGAGCATATACTTTTAAGGTAACTTCACCTCATTATGCAATGTCAAAGATTCAGTGCACAGGCTGACATTTTTAAATCATTTTTTTAAAAATGGTAATGTGTAAAAAACAACAATAGAGGAAAAACTTATCTCTTGTAACTCTGTGGAATCAGCATGGATGCTTACCTGTAGGACAGATATGGTTTGCTCCAGCTCCACTTGCAGTTCTGGACCTATTTCTTTATCCACGTGAAAGACAAAGGAGGTTTCATAATCCTTCTCATTTTCTGGTGTCCAAGGAATAGACAACTGCTTTTGATAYGCCCCTGGGACAGACACCTTGACCTCGCAGCATCCTGTGCATCAGAAAAAGAAGTTTGGACCACAGGAGCTGTTTCAATAAATGTTGAAAATCATGTACTTATTAAGTGCAGCTGAGGCTATGAAAACATAAGCAAAAACTCTGTTGTGTGGTACCCAGCAGAAAATACCCTATATTATTAATTTTTAAAAATAAAAGCAAAATTGACATAAAAAGTAAATTTTTATGTCAGTTAATTAAAAGGCATTGTACAGACAGAGAAACAAGTCTCCTCTTTCTCTTAAGGAACAAACATGTTGAAGAGTAGTGATGACTTAAGCTCTTCAGGCAGCCCTACCTTGCTGTTTCTCTTTTGTGTTTTCCTCTTTCTTGACAGTGCCCTGCAGAGACAAGCAAGGATGAACCTGGGAAAAAGAGAAACCAGCTCTGGTTACACAATTTTTCATTCACTTCTTTGTTGAAGTTTAATTCACCTACTATCTCAGCTGCAAGCTGTCAAAAAAACCATCAAGTCATATTTTGTTAGTTCAAGCGAAGAACAAGTTGTGTTTCAGTAGGACAGGATTTTTTGCTCCTGTTTCAAAATAAAAAAACACCCTTTCTATTCCAGGTGTGGAGGTTTTATTTACAACCAATACTYCATAGTTACAAGTCATCAACACCTGGGGGTTTTCACCCTTTTTTAATGTATATATGAGTATCTATTCAGAACCTGTTTAGATCCAAGCAAGCACTTCATTAATTTYTGTTCCAGCTTGTCTATGTCCTCATGAAATTTAGTCTCTCACACCATTCAGCCATCAGCTTGCCCTCTAGGCCAGTAGATGAGATACTTAATCAGCTACAAGTGCCCTAAAAGATAAGAAACTACTCGACAGCTCCAATAAGACTGATTTGCTAAGGGAAATTGCCACAAAAGCTTCCTTGCTATGAAATAGTTTTCAGGACTCTGCTGTTAAATGCCACCAATTCTTTCAGGGGAAAAAAAAAATTTAAACTCTAAATTTTTACCATTATCCTTTTTTCTTTATAAAAAACTGGACTCCATCACCTTTTCTTTTGAGGGAGAAAAGAGGGATTAACACCTGTATTTTTAATGGACAATAAACTGGTTTTCTTAGATTGATTAAMCCAAGAGAACAGGAAGCCATCACCTGCTCACTAATGGCACTCATGAAAATTTAGAAATAATATGTGTTAAAAAAAGAAGAGGGACTCTCCCTGGCTGGCATCTAGGCTAGAAAATAGTACAATCTTCAAGACTCACTTACCTCCTAAAGACATTTTTTTAAATTTTTATAGCAGCCTTAATGGGAAAAAAAATACAAACCAAACAAAAATCTCAAAAAATGTACCTTTCTGTAAGTTGGGATCAAATTTAAAAATTGGGAAAGATTTTTAAATCAGAAAATAAAAAAAAAAAATAAAAAAAAAAAATAAAAGAGGCAGATCCCGGAGACAGTAGGAGCTATTTGGAAGCAGGACTGCAACGTTCAACAATTCTTCTTTCTACTGAAAATTTATCTTCAGSAGTAAATCACAACACATGATTCTGACTTCCATGTACTCACCACAAGGACTCCGTTGGTCAATACCTGTGTCGGGGCATCTGAGCTGTGAAACCAAGAGATTTATTTTTAGTGATGATTTGTTTTAATTTTGCTTCATCCTACTTTGCAACTCAAATAGTGGGGCAAAAAGGTCCCCATTGTGGGAGATCCAGGCAAACACCAAGTATGTATTTCCCTTCACAAAATAATGGGAGCTGGGAAAAACTGAAGAAAAATCCTCATCTGCAAATATAAGCATGTGCTGTAAGATCTTCCCATCTTAGTTATTTTGATAACCTTGAGAAGAGCTGAGCTACACAAACTATCAGATACATAAAGTACTCATTTGTGTATTTTGCAAGAATAACTGTCAACGTTTTCCACCAGTAAATAACTAATCCATAAAGTGTTCATTCCTTCCCATGAAGTCCAGCAAAATTTTATTTCTATTTTGGTACCCTAAAAATATTGGTGACTGGAGCACTAAGGATATTTGTGGTCAAGCATTAGTGRATCAACTCAAACACCACAGAGAACTACAGAGCATCAGCCTTTTTATGGGCAAGACTGTCCTACACAGAATAATCAAGTGACAACGTATCTGCAGGGCACAAGTTCATTCAGCTCTTCAGGAAGGACTCACCATTTCTCCAAGTAAAACTCTACATCCAGCTCTTCATTAGCCTTTGAAAATAAAAGTCAGACATTGGTTACTCTTGATCCTGCATATATAATTATGAGACATCTTTCCAAGAGATTAAGCTTTCCTCTTGCTACAGTTATAGTAATGTACTGTTAAAATAACTGGGTTTGTTCCTTTTATAAAGGTTCCAGTTAAACTTTGAAATGGTTAAATTTAGCCTTTAAATATTCCTCCTGTCTTGGACATACCCTACATGACCAGACACATCTACATTTGAAGACACAAGCACACAGAAGTGAGAGTTGGCCCCAGATCCATCACTCTGCTAATGAGACAAAAAAACTCCTCTGGCTCAGGTGCCACAGCAGCATCATCTCTGCAAACAGCTTCTACATGAGGCTTTGGGCTTCCTCCCTCCCATTTCCCATCTCTTATTTCAGCAGCTTGCACTCTCAACTCTTTGCTGGTTTCATCCCCTACAGATATTGTTCCAGCCAGTCTTTTCTCCTCCTGTAAAATAAGTGTCTGATACCAGACATAACACAKCTTTAAAACAACAAAGTAGAAGCAAATTTGGGTAATTTTGCTCGCTGAATTTGAARTTTCCCATCCCTGTGGATCAGGGTGACTTAAGTGTTCAGCAAATGGGCAGAGTTAGCGGGAACAGGGGAGTTACTAAGCCTTTTCTCATGATCATAAATCTTTTGGAGTGCCTGTGGCACTGCCCAGCAACTCCCTGTGAGCTGCACCCCAGTTAGTCTGCTCCTGGCCACACCAACAGCACTGAAGGCCAATTTCTCAAGAAAATACATCATTAGCTCACCTTTACTCCAGACCTATTGTAGCAATGCGTTTGTGGCATTACAAAATAGACCAGAGTGGTGATGTGGCTTTACCCACGTAAAAAAGGCTGTCCTGTGAATCCACAAACAGCTGCACAGGGCTTGAGAGAGCTGATGKGCACCASTGTCATCCACATRAAACAGAGATTAAATGTACTGAATSTAATCCAGAGAAAGTAAGCTTCTCTCAGGCTTTTAGCTTAGTARACATAGAGGTAATCTTTGCAGCAATAAACTTCTTTTTTTGCAAACTGATGATGACAAGCTAAATAAAACAGTCTGCAGTCCCCTCAAATGCCTTTCATTTTAAAACCAGTTTATGCTCCTCTAAGTTATGTGAAAAATTAATTCCCTTTAAAGATGTTTTAACATCTTCTGAGAGACAGCAKTAATTCTAAATTTTATTTAGCTGGGGCATCCCAAGGACTATGGGAAGCACACACAAAGTTACTAGAGAACCTGGAAACATCTCAGTTGTCAGTAAAACCATTTGTGCTGYCATCACCAACTGATTCATTTTCCCCATCTGGCTCCTCCAGCACAAACAAATCAAGCAGCAGATGCTGCCAGATGTGCACAGGGATGAGCTGCAGCCCAGGCAGGCACTGACCTCGGGGTTCAGCCTGAAGGTGCGCAGCAGAGGCTGGCCGGGCTTCATGCCCCCCACATCAAAGACGATGGAGGTGAGCTCATCACTGACCAGGACATCCTTGTCATAGAGAGTCAGCTCCAGGATGTTCTAAAAGCAAGCAGAAAACAGCAGCCTAAGATGAAAGAGCAGAATCACTTCGATAAACTTGAGTAGTTGCATACAATAGACACTTTGTGCATTCATCAGCACCCTTCCCCCTTCCAATCCCGATGAAAATTCAGGATTTTCAGCAGGGCTTGCAGCACAGTTAAGCAAAGAATGCTCCTTCCTGGCTGACACCATTTAGCTGAAGCATTTTGTCAGCTTCCCAGCAGAGGGAGGCCCCAGCTGAACTCGTGGCAACACCATCCACCAGCTTCAGCACAGATTTGCCCAAGGAAGCAATACCAATTTCCACTYTTTCAGGATGGTGCAGTCCAGGACCAATCACTTCCTGCTCAGCACTGTCTCAGAGCTGGTAAATTCAAGAGCAAGTAGCTAAAATAGACACAATGAGGACATACAGCACCCTAAAAACAGCCTTGCAGCAACGAGTTCCCAAGGAGACAAGGCTGAACCTAGAATTGTGCTGACAGTCTCCAGAACTAACAGACTGAGGCCTCAGGAGCTCACACACTCTAGATTTTAGCTTTCCATTTTCCTATTATTCGAGTACCATTCCACATCTGTCACCAACCACTGTGGAAAGGCACTCCAGTGAAGGGGATAGTTTCTTGTCGACAGGCACCTTATCCCAAAGCTTGAGTGCTTAGGATATTATTCAAAGCAAGAGTGCCACACTAAAACTGATCTTTTAAAGAACAGTTTCCTTCCCCCTACYATTAGTGTCTACTTGGAGAATGAAYRCTGGWCACTTTTTAAATACTGTATTAAGTCCTACACAGACAGCAAATGTACCGTCTCTATAAGAGTCTGAATTTTGGTTTTCTGGATCATAGAAACTGATGGCAAAACTAGACTAAATGAACTAAAAGGCAGTGAGTAGAAATTCAGCTCCTGTGAAAGAAGCAGACATCAAACAGAAACCTGCTTGATCAAGGAATTTCCTTCAACTCCACCAGGTCGTGCCATAACTTCTCTTTCCTGAGTTGCATCAGAAGGATGTTTATGGAAAATTCCAGCTGCAATTTACATGAGAGTGCAGTTAAGCAGAGCAGTTTGCATTGCTGGACATGCAGAGCAGAGCTTTTTGCACCACTAAAGACTGCTGACACCTTACAAGAAGCACAGGTTTTGAGGGTAATAAAGAACCCCKGGTTTTGAATGAAGGATGAAAAGCAAGCCAGTTTGCAAATACAGGTGGTACAACCAGCTCCAAAGAGGGTTCTTACCTTGACAGCACTATGGATTCGRTACTGGAAAGTTTCATTCCATTCTGGGTTCTCAGAGTTGTCAACAACCTGAGTTCGGGAGACTCGGGGAGATGCCGTGGGCAGCTTTAGTTCCACGTAGCAGTCTGCCTTGGACACTAGAGTGACAATGAGAGAGATGCCAGAAAACTTTATTCAAACATACTCCTTCCCATGAGCTCCACATTTTCTAAGTCTCACTGTATCACAGAAAAGTGCAAATATGAGGCTGGACTTCTGAAGCAAAAGCCATTAATGAAAAYAAATATTTGGAAGCTGGAGTTGAAGATTTCTACTTCCAGGCTCAAGCAGACTGTTCAGCAGGAGCAAGAGTGAAACTTGCCATGASCAGGGGGCTGAATCCAGAGAAAGGAACACAGAATGGGCCACAGTAGAACAGGTAAAAGAGCACGGAAGCAAAACATTACCAGGGCTTGATCTTGCTCTGCAAAGTAAGAACAGCTGCAGCTGCCTAATCTGCAGCTTGGCCTCATGTAAAGCTTTCAAAATATATATAATATAGTATACTTTATATTATATACTTAAATGCTTTACATGAGAAACTTTTGTTGAGACATAAAGGCAATGCAGTATGTGTAGGTAAGAGGCTCCCTTAACAATGCTGTTTTCACAGCACCTTGATTAAATACTTACACACATCCGTACCCTTGATGTTTCTGGCTCGGAGGACTTTTACTGTGAGGTTGTAGTAARGGTGCTTTTCCCACTGAAAAGAGAGAAACAAGCTCAGCATTTAGCTCAGTTGCAGTGCCTGTTCTGTGTGTTAGACCAGAGAAATGTATCAGAGCAGCAGCCCAAAGTAAGCTGTTAACAAATCAGTCTGGGAACACATGCAGCACTTTTAACATTCTGGAGGATGACTAAAGGAGTCTAGAAGGAAACTCAATTCCCTTTCAGCAAAACAATGAGTGATGTCTTAGGGCAAGTCCTCATGGACTTCAGAAAGCAAGTCTTTAGGGATTCCTCCAATTATAGATCAGTTTTTAATTGCTTTGTTAGTRCATTCTTGCTGAGGGATAAACAGATGCTAAAACTGCTCAAATAAATTCATGACAGCCAGCTTAAGAGTTCTGGCCAAGGGCACGTGAATGTTTGAGTAAAAGCAGACATGGCAAGAATCTTAACAGCAGGGTGTAAAGACATAGAAGGCATAGGCTGTTTACAATGAGGGAAAAAAAAGCCAAAACACTTTCTCAACAAAATACTTCATGGCAGTTTGAGTAAGAAATTCACTTTCATTTTGGACTGTTATTGGTATCAGCACTCTAAGTGTGCATGTCACTTTACCAGCATAGATAAAAATGTAATCCTTACTCTTGAAAGCTTCTGGGAGACTATTTTTGGAAAGTAATATTAGTATCTAAATGCCAGGATGTGAAGTGGAAAAAAGAGGTCTGACCAAATCCGAGAATATGAAGAAGTGGAGGAGGGCAGGAGACAAGAGAGAACAGCTTGAGGTGATTTAGTACAGACACTGCACAGAAGTAATTGTGTAAGGCTCAGGAACAGAATGGGTTTCTGCCTCATTTTTGTCAGTTGTGACAACACAATCCTGGCCATCTAAGAACTTTTTCTATTCTTAAGTGACAGTTTTAAAATGCTTTTCACAAATGGTTATTTCTTCACATTCATAATTTTCAGCATGGTTGGCTTGGGACCGGAGTTTCATTTTAGATTTGCTAAGTACTCATTTACTATTGAATTCAACAGGATCTTCACTTACAGAAAAACCACTGCAGACTGACACATGAGGCACTGGAAGAGGTTGCCCAAGAAGCTGTGAATGCCCAGTTCCTGGAAGYGTGCAAGGCCAGGCTGGATGGAACTCTAAGAAACCTGGTCTAGTGGAAGGTGTCCCTTCCCAGGGCACAGGGGGTGTAACCAGGTGACTTTTAAGGCCCCTTCCAACTCAAAGTATTCTTTAATTCTATGATACTTGAAATATTATATAAAAGGGCAGGCCCAACATATCACTAATTGGGATCTCACAGAAAACAGTGAACCCTCAACTGTTACACTCTCCTTGAACGTTCCTTATCTGATAAATGGAATTACACTGTGCTCGTTAAGCAGTCACGTGCTTGGTGAGTTTTCCTTATTTTTCATCTCTTGGAGATACTTGCCAGCTTTTGCAAAACAGGGTTTGAACAACATACTAAAGACAAGGCATACACAATATAATGAACATTTTTGCACTAAGCAAGTACCTACCATCCACCCTGACCAACAAGCAAAGAGCAAAAACTACACGAGTCTCCTAAGATACTGCACATACAGATACCGAACTAAATTTGTGCAAATAAACTTCAGTTATACAATTACTAATCTTAAAGGACACTTATTTGCAGCACTGACATGTTGAAGACAGTCATTCCTCTATTGCTTTCTGTGAACAAGACTTGCCTTCACATGGAATTTCRCCATGAGTTCTACCCTTCAGATGCYRGTTTGTTTCCTCTTTAAACCTTTTCCAGCCACGTCCCTTTTATTCAATCCCTGACAAGTTTCTCAGGCAAAGCCTGACTTCCTTTCTAACTCATCAAGTTRGGGAATGGATTACAGGGAGAAATTCAAGATTCTGTATGTTATTCTCACCAACTTCCTAAAGTTGTTGCAACACTTCCATTCGTTGTGACATGAAGCTACATAATCACACCCCCATGGCTGTGAAAGCAACCTTCATTCACATAGCCTGGCTATCACCTGGAAATCAGACACTATCAGCAGAGGAAGCAAAGAACACCATGAAGACAGCCAATCCTACCTTCATTGCACACCATCTGTCAATAATGTCTACATGTTCAAAAGGAAGTCTTTTCCAAAGGTCTCTAAGATGCTTGATTTCCAGACAGTCGTTACACAACTGATGGTTTCCACACCCATTATATTATATTTTAAGACATATAACTCAACAGAACTTTCACTTTTCCCAAGCCTGTGTGATCAATTATGCCAGAACCTTCTCATGTGCCTTTTATGCTTATCTTTTATCAAAGGCACAGCAAGGTCACAGCATGTTGCTTGCAGAGTAACAAAGCATGGGAGTACCAGATGTGCTCTGTCTGAATGATCAGGGGAAAGGCAGGCAAGAAATCCTTATGGGAAACGGGAAACAATGATGACAGCTCTGCCTGTACCWGTRTACATGACAGCACACCACTCTATGTGACTGATGCAAGCAGCTAACGTCTGCTTTGCATTTGCAAGATTTTTCAGAATCACTGCTTTTCCAGAGCTCAGGAGTGTACCTGAAGCAAAAACAAAAAAAAAAAAAGAAAAGCCCCCTTTAAATCCTAAAAAAAGGAACAAGGCTCAATTTTCACATACTTAACCTTGCAAACAGCTGTCYGTACACCTTCCATCTAAACTGAAGATGCTGATGCAGCTGGAAGCCACTGTAAAACAAGACATCCCAGCTACAGGACCCAGTAGCCTTTACTCTCATGAAATCCAGGATGATTGCCTTTACACAGTGGGATCTCAGTGCTGGGATCCACTCCACAGCCCTCAGTGCCTGCAGAGGACTCACCATAAGCCTGCCAGATTCATTACAAAAATGTTGTCTTATTATAGCAAATAAAAATGTAGCTTCTAAGACATAATTTGTGTTCACAGATGCTGGGAACATCAGGAAGCCCAAAGAAGTGTCTGGTTTACCAATGGAACACTTTCTCCCCATCTTGTTCCTGCTCCCAAAGAAGAACTGCTGCCTGTCATTGCCCTCTTTGTGAGCAGTGTCACAAATTTGCTTTTAAACCCCAAAGCAAAGCCCTGGCTTTCCTGGGCACCCCTTGCACTGTCCCCTCTCCCTCAGGAGAATAATTCTGCAGGTGTGAAAGGAGCCTCACAGACCCAGATTTACAGTCAGCCAGGAGATGGGCAATGCCAGCAGCTCAGTCACAGTGGCAAACACTGTGTTCACTCCCAGTCCATTGTTGTTTGCCTTTGGGAGTGAAACCAAGGCTAAACTCTGGAAAATTAAAAAGATTTGGTCATACTAAATTCACCTGCAAAGCCAAAAGAGTCCTCTTCTGCTCCACCTCTTGCTCAGTTATCATTTAGTCAATGCAAAATCTCTCCCTACAGCCAGCAAAATTTGGCTATGTTATTTTTTTATTTATTATTTAAGTAGCTAGCACCTGAGTGAATATATTTTAATGATTTACAGGTGAAAGGAGGCTAACACTGGCCTCTTCTACCCAAGTACTAAACAATAACATTCAAAAGTCAGCAAGATTATTTTTATCACCTGGCAAGCAGAAGTACAGAAAGGTATACAAGCAGTAAATTGTCTTGGGACATTTAATGGTGACTGCAACTTTAAGTTGTATATTGAGGGGTTGGCATGACAGGACACAGCAAGGATGATCAGCTCATAGATCAGATCTCCAGCCAAAGGCTCCTTCACAAAATTGAAAATTGAAGTTATTGGCCTGACCATCTTACACAATGAAATTATTTCACTCCAATTAAAGGTCAAACACACCAAAACCACTTTATCTGTTGTGGTTGCACAGCTATCATTAGTCTTGGTCTACTTGAGATCATAAATCCCWGTAAAATAAGATAGCAGAAAAGAAGACAACTGTAATCAAGGATATTTTGAAAGAAAACACATAAGCATGATTTTGTCTCAACTGATGAAAAATACAGTATTCTGGACTCTCCCCCCAAAAAGTATTTGGTATTAGGTTAATTCTGCCCCCCAAAACCGAAGGAAATACAGACCTACTCTGCATTTCCTCACACAGACCCAAAATTTAATAAAAGCCTGAAATCCCATTAATATTATCCTTAGGGAATGAAAATTTGGATAACAATAAACTTTTTAATTCCTGTGGAAGTGCAGGACTGGTTTTCCACACRTGCAGCACCAGGAAGTCGCTCGCGAGCACATCAGCTGAGGAATGGCATCTCAAGGAGCCCCACGGTTTGTCTTACCCGCCAGTGATAGAACCCCGTCTCCTTCCTCTCCTTCCTTTGGAAAAGCACAGCTGCCAGAAAAGGCAGCACTCGGGGTGGAAATGGGCCCCGCAGCACCTCATGGAACATGGGAAAAACGTCCTGTGGTCTGTGCAGAAAATCTGACAGGGAAACCCAGAGAAGGAGRAGAGTCTGCACTGCCGGGGTGCTGAGCGCTGTTTGCTCCGGGCTCTTCTGGAGTTTCRCGCAGGACTGGGCCACGCTCCAGCTGGGAGAAGCGGAGGTGTGGCCCGCACTTGCCAAACGAGACAGCTCGAAACCTCGCTGGCAGGTTTTTCCAATGTTGCTACAAGATAAAGGAAGCAAAGCAGCATCAGGCAGGGAAGCCTAGGCAGGAGGAAGCACTGCTTTGTGATCCCACTGCAACATCAAAATCCCCAGTCCAGGTTTTCTTGGAAAGTTCCGGCAACCTCAAATACAACTGTGGCCATTTGAAACACTTGTCAGAGCTTCAGCACAACTTACCAGTATTTTTAAACAGAAAGGATTCCCCCTCTTACAAGCCTGAAGTAAAGCCAAATTTGTCACCCACCATAGCTGTTCAGAGCTGTTTCGGAGAGGCAGAGGGGAAACACGGTATTTTGGTCTGCCATAAGATGCGTCAGGGAATATCAATTCCCCACCACTTGTTCTCTCTCACTACGAGTGGCCTGCACAATTCTCCCCTATTTCCTCATTTCCATATAGTACAGTCCTGATTCTTACACTAAAAGTTCTCAAAAAACTGTACAAGASACAGGGTAGATATTTTAGGAGTCTATCATGCCTTAAAAAAAATTATTTAGTGAAGGAAAGAGCTTACTGAAAATGAGTAGCTTATTAACAGCTGTTGACAGTCTTGCTGCAGTTTTTCATCAAAGAGCTGAAATTTATGAACTGGAATTGCAGCCCAAGTGCCAAACTTTAGTGTTACAACAAGTAAACTGTCAGAAAATGTATAAAAACCAGTAATGCAGCATGTCACTAGCTCCACTCAAGCATGAGAATGTGACACATTCTCAGCAAGGTCCCATTCATTAATCATTTCCTGTCATTAGTGTAAGTCACCAGACTAGAATTCGAGAAAATTAATAAAAGCATAAGCACTGACATTTTGCACACRAACAAGTCAGCACTAGGTGGTGAATTCACAGCATGAAGAGTCAACACAGGCTCAAAGCAAAYGTAACTCCATGGTGAAACAGCCAGTGGCTGCTGTAAAGCTCTCRTGTGCTACTAAATGGCATGGCAGACACTGGGCTGAAAAAGCCATTTCTCTGCTTTTCTACTCACCACTGCACTGGAAGGGAAGGAATGYAGCTCCACTCCTATGAAGAAAGGCTGAGAGGGCTGGGGCTGTTCASACTGAGCAGGAGAAGGCTCCAGGGAAACCTCAGAGCAGCCTTCCAGTATTTAAAGCACGCTTATAAAAAAGGAGAGTGACTTTTACATTAGCAGATAGTGACAGGACAAGGGGGACAAGATTTAGATTAGATGTTAGGAAAAAATTCCTTACTYAGAGAGGCACCAGAACAGGTTGCCCAGAACAGTTGCGGATGCCTCATCCCTGGAAGTGTTSAGTGCCAGGTTGGGGCCCTGAGAAACTGATTTAATGGGTGGCAAYCCTGCCATGGCAGGGGGGTTGAATCTAGAATATCTTTASGGTTCCTTTCAACCCAAACCATTCYATGACTATCATACCAGKTTTTATTTATCTTCAAGAAGATTGTAGAACCATWAGTGTGRTTTTTTTAATATTTAATCTAAGTGGCCTCACACAGTACAGTAACATGGAGAAATCACATTTATTCTAGCTTATTACAGGCAGTGTGCAAACCCTCTTTTTTGARTGCCCAATTGCATAGAAATTAGGCTTACCTACCTTCTGCTGTTCTCTCCTTTTCCAATGAAATCTCAGCACAGGGATCTCACATTTACAGAATTTCTCTTGAATTTCTTAAGAAAAACTGAAAGCTCTTTGGAACAGTATTTCAGAATTGTTTAATTGTCAGCAACCGATCATCCACAAGCAGTGTCACTGTGCAGTTTCAGCCATGTAGCTAAAACTTAGMTTTCATCCCAGTGGAGGGCTATGAAGGTGATGAGGGGACTGGAGCATCTCTCACCAAAAAAGGCTGAGGGAGCTGGGCCTGTTCAGCCTTAAAAAGAGATGTCAGAGTGGATTTCATSAATGTATTTAACTATCTGAAAGGAGGGTCAGAGGACACAGTCAGGCTCTTCTCTGGGGTGCCAAGCAACAGGACAAAGGGCATAAACGGATGCACAGGAAGTTTCACCTGAAAATGAGGRAGAACTTATTTACTGTGCAGGTACCCTTGCACTGGAAGAGACTGCCATGAGAGGGTGTGGAGTCTCCCTCACTGGAGATAATCAAGAATCGTGTGCATGCACTCYTGTGYCATRTGCTCTAGGATGACMCTGCTTGAGCAGGGAGCTTGCACCTAATGAACCACTCTGGTTCCTCATAAACCTGACCCATTCTGTSATTCWGTGAACATGGAGACAAAAAACTTCCTCTGTGCTCTGTCCCGTTTCTATAGAATGAGAAAACTCAGGATCTGTATTCTGCTTCCAACACCAGACTACTTTATGACCAACAGTCCAAGCAACTGCAAACCTGTGAGTCTAAACATTTCCTGATTTGGTCACATAGATTTCAACATCTCTCCCCAGCCCAAAATAGCATATCACTACTCAYAGTAAGTACATATTTAATGGTAAAATGGTGTAAGACTTGAAAAAACATTATTCAAAGACATAATACAAAAGTGGTTTTAGGGGATTTTGAGAACATTCACAAGCATGTATAAACTTGTAGATTTAAAAACCTACCTTGAGAATTGATGACATGGCCACATTTGATTTACATTTACTAAAGCAAAAGGGATACTGAGACACTGCATTGGGTCTGACCTCCAGGAGAAAATGAGGTCTAATATACAAATAAAAAACAAAATCTACAGCAGCCCAGAAAAGCTTAATTGCACAATGACTGAAACACACACTGGTTCACGATATTTATTACAACCTATTGCTTTAGATAAACCTGCTGTATGGTTAGTAAAACCAGAGCACATTATATGAACCAACAAAAAAATAGGTACAGGACAGTTACATCTGTGTAAATGGTTTGCAGTGGAGATGAACAGAGGCACAACTTTATTCTGGTAARTAAGAGCACAGTGAAGATACTCATAATGTGAGTACAGCTCTCCTGGTAACAGACAATGAAGGTAAATAAAAATCATACTACCAGTACTACATGTAAGATAGGTAAAAATCAAGAGTAGTACTGTTACATCTGTATACAAAGAATGCAGGGTCTTTTTAAATACCCTCTTTTCATTCCCTATGACCTGTAAACACAACTCTCCCAAGCCACCTTCCCTCTGTACCTCAACTAGTATATAAACATCTGTACAGGATGTGCAAATCTAGTGTAAGTATTTTTAGGCTCTCCTCTTCAAATAGAAGAAATACAAGTTTAAAAATATTAACACCACAGATTCTCTCTATCCAGCCTCTGCAGAAAGACATCAGTAGCAATACTGCCCAAGACATCCAAATACAGAAGTAGCAAAACACTGGACCAAGAAATCCAGATGAATGCATGAACAATAAATACAAACACATGTGAAAAAGGAAAAAACAGTTATCAAGGGAGACAACACTGGCAAGTGGAAGTGAATTAGGAGTTTTGTCAGCCTACAGCAGATCTGTTTCTAAAAAACACTCACATAATCATTTAAGTAAACCTATGCCGTTAACTGAGATTCAACTACACCTTAGGCAGACAAGATTTATTCATCAACTTGTCATTAATTATTCATCAGCTTGTCATGATCTGGTAGTTACATCTCATGCTCCATACTACTTAATAATGACATATTTATAAGTATTGCTAGACCAGGATGTTGGGACTCAAGTAGCCACTCTATTGGGTTATATGCTACTGTTGCCTTTTCATTACCACTCCAAAGATTCTTTCTGCAACATTTTGTCCCTCATACCAATCTGCWACTGAATAATGTTTCTGGAAAAATAAGTTAGACACAAATATTACAGTCTACAGTGAGTATGGTACAATCTAGTTCTTGTGTTAAGACTTCTGGCCCAAGAGTAGTTTAAGAACAGTACCAGCCTGAGCAGAATGCAGTTCTAGAGCATTTACAATACACAGATCTTGAAACAATCTGGATTTTACTTCACTGTTGGAAAGTGAACCAGAGACTAAAGAATTTATATACAAAGTCTCAAGCACAGTCCAGAAGCTCAAGCAATAACTGGAATTCACTCCTTCCAGTAACTGCTTTACAGGGTGTTCTTGCTTTTTGCTCTCAGTGTAGATGTGAACTTCTTCAAAAAGTCTCTCAGCTTCACTAATAATAGACACAGCCAGTGCAAAAAAACACAAGTTAGTTCCATTTACAGCTCTCAAACTAAAGCAAAGAGGAAAAAAAAGCTTCTTAGCACTATTTACCATCTGTCTGTCTTTTCTGAAACAACTTATCAGAAGGTCAGGCAATAACAAYGAACATCAACAGAGTCCTTTGGCCAGCACTTAAACATTCCTATCACTGAGATAAAACTTATACTTCCTGTGCCTAGACACAGGYACAGAAACCTCCTCTATGACAAACACACAGTGATCACCCTGCAATCAACAACCTGCTGACATAGTTGCAAAGACTTTAAGGGAATTTTCTTTTTTTGAATAAATATTTACATACAAGGCCAAATCACAATATTGCCACCCTAAAAAAAGTACCTTTTATTGTAAAACTTGATTTGTGGTGAACGTCCAATAGTTGTCCAACAGTTCATTTGCCAGGCTGGAGTGTATTACAAAACTCACTACAAAAATCAGTTTCTAGTCTTCATCTGAGGGCTGAGAGGTTCAGTGTAGTTGCCAGCACTATAAAATGGTTAAAGTCATTTTCCAGTAACTCAATATTGCCAGGTAGGCACAGTCAGTCCACAGATACAAATGACTTCTAGCCAGTATAAGAGAACCTAGCAACAAGGCTCAAACATCTCAGACATGTCAACTTCTTTACTCATCAGTACTGAATTTCATGTGAATGTTGGAATTATTGAYCACGACAAGGTCAGGTGTCCAGTGTGTTGACTTCTTTGGAGCAGAAATAATGCACAACTATTGCATTAGGGTATCGAGCAAATGCACTGTGAAGAGAACAAAACACAAAAATCAGCTGCCAAGACAGTTTTCCACATTCAAACAAGAGCATCCAAGTTGGGCAGAATCAGAGAGCGACACATGATAGG